GTTAGTACGTAAGTTTTTATCGTTTGTGGTTTCTGTGGTATGTATTATGAATAGAGCTGTAATAAATAAGAAATAAAATGTTTGAAAAAATGTTAGACCCGGTATTCTATATTGTTAGCCTAGCCTTGTTTGTATACCGCAGTCGACAAGAACAATGGGTATATTTTAGATTCAATGACGAGAGATTCCACCAGTTCCAAGTTCATAAACCATGGTCGACGAATTAATACAACGATCTACGATACAATTACAAACAGGCCAGATTAAACGAGGGTGAAACAGTCCCCAAATAGGTCCAAAGTCCTGTTTCCTCCTTTGGGGCAAGGTGCGTGCAAGCGATGTGTTCGTTTTATTGATCGATTTTAAATAAAACAATTTAACGGTTTAAAACGCGAGATTTTAAACTTGTTCACAATTTTTTTTCTAACTATGGCCCGACACGTTGTTTTGGATGCGTTTTAGCAATCGTGGTCACGGGGAGACTTAAGAAGGGTTGGACTGTGGACAGACTGTGCGGACTGTGTTAACTCAAATATATATTTTGTGTTTTGAACTGTTAAATGTGTTCAATTTAAAGCAGACGCGGTCACGAGGGCATTGCGAAGCAACGACGGGTCGTAGTCGAAGTAAGTCTACCAATATATTTCACGTTTTAAAACCTTTATGACACGGGCAGGGCGATAGCACGGCACGATGTGAATTCCGGGTCAAGTCCTGCCCGTGTCATACGCGGTTTCAATCTAAATTCTGTTTTTATTTTTTAGATATTTTACCTTTTAAACCGTCAAAGGTGTTTTATTTTAGCGTAATTATTGTCATTTAGTCGAGAATTGCCACCTTGCTTACCTTGCTTTGCCCTTGTTTTACTTACATCATCCGACGAATTTCAACATATTTAACACTAGCTGTGCCCACGACTTCGTCCGCATCGAATAGTGCATCGTTTCTGCGAGTAAATCTTAAAGTAGGTAGTTTTTAAATTGAAAATCGAAAACAAATTGAAAAAACTTTCGACTCGGGTAGGTCTTGAACCGGCACCCACAGCGTCCCGTGCTGTTGCTCTAACAAATTGAGCTATCGTGTCCTACACGTCATCGTCGAATTTCAACCTATACTATAATACAATACATCGATTTTTTATTCATATAGTGCCATTGTGTAAAAAAATTTTTTCATTATTAAAAAAAACCCTTTACGGTTTAAAATGCCGATTGTTAAACTTATTTGGAAATGATTTTTAACTCTCGGCCCGACGTTTGGATGCTTTACATCATTTCCAAATAAGTTTAACTAATATATCGAGTTTTAAACCGTTAAAGTGTTTTTTTTAAATCTTTTCCTCGCGTGAAAAAAATGTTTTCATTTTTTTAAATAAAACACCAGGCCGTCTCGCCGCCGCCGGGTTTCCGTGACCACGGCTGCTGCAAAAACCATCCGAGCTGCCGAGTAAAATCATTTACAAATAAGTTTAACTAATATATCGCGTTTTAAACCGTTAAAGTGTTTTATTAAAATGTGTACTACTCGCGTAAACTATGGACAGTATGTTTTATTTCTTTAAAGGTTAAAATTAATAACGAACGATGTCTTCCTAGATCCATCTGCGACCTTTGTTTGTGACTGTACAAATATCGCCTTCAACACTTGAATATCAGGGCTTCCCCAAAAACCAGTTTGATTTAACTCGACCATTCGACAAAAAGTTAAAGATACTTTGTATACTTCAGTTGTGTAGTCTGATATTTATTATGTCTTCAATACTAATATATAAAGCTGAAGAGTTTGTTTGTTTGAACGCGCTAATCTCAGGAACTACTGGTTCGAGTTGAAAAATTACTTTTGTGTTGGTTAGAGCATTTATCGAAGAAGGCTATAGGCTCAACATCGCTCTGTAACTAACACAAGAGAGGATACAGCGACACGTGTAAAAAAATTGGGAATTTTGGGTAATAAAACAGTGGAAAGATGGAATAACTGGAAAATTCTTAAATTCATCTTTGATGACTTCCGTTGCTGAACCGGTGCGTTGCGAAAACGGTTCATGATACCCAAAAGATACGTATGTCCGCAACAGTATGTCTATCTATCTTTTAAGATGAACTCGCAAGAACGACTGGACGAGGGCGCAGTCGCTTGTCACAGCTAGTATAATATACATTTAGCGCGAGGAGGCAACAAGCAAATTGGAAGCAAGGTACCTTTGGTGATCAGCAGGTCCTGATTATTATTTTTTTAAACATGTCAGACACCTGTATATCTGGATATTAAATGGATGGAATATCGACTATCGACTAATATCAATATTTATTAACTAAAGTGTTTCAACGCCTAGTTGCCAAAATCAATGACGTCATCACCTACAAATAATATATAGTAATGACGTCATCATTTTTATCGAAGACAAACTAGCTATAAGCAGAAACAGCATACATTTGCAATTTGCAATTTTTTCCTCGTCTTACGAGCTTCCCTCGTGTCCTTGAGTTTGACCGCTCAAAGTACGCTTATAAAATTAAAACCTTCGTACTGTCCGTGTTGTTGAACGTAATGTTTTTCTATAAATCGAACCTCGGACTGCTTTGTGTAATTTATTAGTTAATTTATTTCAACTACGCCCCGACGTGGCCACGGCTGCTGCAAGGCATCAAAAACGTCGGGTCGTAGTTAAAATAAATTAAAATGAGTTAACTTATATATGTATTTCGCTTTTTAAACCGTTAAACTGTCTTATTCCAGTATGTTAGGTTAGTTTATTAAACAATAACAATTTAAAAATAATTACATTTAATGACTTGTTAAAAGATATTTTATAAAATAGGTACTGTCTACAGTTTACGCGAGTAGTACACATTTAAATAAAACACTTTTAACGGTTTAAAACGCAAAGTGTATTTAACTTATTTACATTTAATTGTAGCTACGGCCCGACACGAAGTTTCGTCACGAGAGGACGATGTAGTTAAAATAAATGGCAAATCAGTTCACCTAATACATTTCAAGTTTTTAACCGTTAAAAGTGATTTATACACCTTCTCAATCTTTTTCCTTAAGGTGCGTTTAGAAAAACCCTTGCCTAGGGACTTTCCTATGTTATTGAGACGCGAGAAGCAGGTGGGTTTTTTACACATTCTCAGAATGTAAGATGTTTTTAGCGGTTGTTAATTATGTTAATATTTACACATGACACTTGCGTTTTATATTAAACACTAGCTGTAGCAGCGACTTCGTCCGCTAAAAATATTTATTTTGGGCATCCAAATTTGTTTTTGCCTTTATAGACTTATTATGTTGGCGCAAGTGGGAATCGAACCCGCCACCCGTTGATTATTGTTTATATTGTAATTTTGCTTAACATTACTTTTGTTTAATAAAAAAAACCAAGCACACAATATATATCTATAAGTGAAAACTTCCCCTAGCTTTACTATTCTACCTTCCTGTTCTAAATTATTTATAACTATTAGCTGTTAAGTTTTCCTAATATTATTAAAATAAAAATAAAAAAAAATAAAGTTATTTAGAGCGACTGAACTGATTCTAATGAAATTTTGTATATTCAAAGAGATTTTTACCTATATTTTGCGCTTGTTCAATAATACAAATTAGTTATTTGCTGACCTGGCATTAAATGTACAATTTAAAAATCGAAAATGAATTGAAAAAAATTTCGACTCGGGCAGGACTTAAACCGGCATCGTCAGCGTTCCGTGCTGTTGTTCTACCAATTGAGCTACCGAGTCCCACTTACTACATTAAATATTTCGACCAAAAGTTGATTACCATAAAATCTTCTTGTCATTGAAATTTCCCGGATACATATTTTTAGGTAACTTCAACATTTTTCGCAACGAAAGCAACGGATACCCTCAAAAATAAATATTCTTCTCTCCTATAGATCGCAGCCAGATGTTTTATAGTCAAAAGCGTTTATCGACATTTTCGATTCGAATCAGTAGAACTCTATAGCTATAATATTAGTATGTATTTAAATATTTAAGAATGTATATTATTGCAATCGGAACTCGAACCTGGGATACCTTGAAATTGTCTAATTTTATTTATCAAATTGAAACAATTTAACGACGTTAGAGAAGAAGTTAATGCATACTGCTACGTAAGATAAGGTCTCAGAGAGTAATTTGATTTTTTTGTTGCGGAAGTCATTATGCATTTATTGTTACGAACCTGTTTCAGGGTTCCGTAACAAAGAACCACTTAAAATTAAACAGTAGTGTCTTATTGTTATATTATTTCCCAAAATTAAATAAGCTTTACGTTAATTATTTAATTGATATTATCACATTGAAAAACAATACTTTAACGGTTTAAAACGCGATATATTAGTTAAACTTATTTGAAAATGATTTTTAACTTCGGCCCGACGTTTCGTATGCTTTGCAGCAGTCTTAACGTTTAACGTAAACGTAAATTTTACTAATGTATCGCGTTTTAAACCGTTAAAGTGTTTTATTTAAATGTACTAACCGCGTAAACTATAGACAGTATTTTTTTACTTTTTCAAACTGGTAAGTGTGTACTCGCGTAGTGACTTAAATATAAAAGTAAATAAATAACTTACACATCAGGTTTTTCCACACAAAGGGTGAAAAAGGCCTTATATTTTACACGTGTACGACTATTTACCTTCTTTGTTAAAATTCAGTTATCTATCAGTTCAGTACATCTTGTTTGCTCGCTATAAAATCATTAAGGAAATGCCCTTAATATTATTCTTATACTGTAATTATTTTGTTCTGTCTATAAAAACATTGCTCGTTCAACGATGTAACTTATAGGAAGTAATTGTTTGTAACACTTAGCAACGACAAACATAACCAATAAACGAATATATTTTACGTTTAAACTGTAAAATGTGTTATACTACTCGCGTAAACTATCCGACATGTATATACGTACAGTATGGTATTTCCAGGTATTCGAACCCATGAGAATTGTGAATCTCTTTCTCATAAAATATCTAACAAATATTTTTTACTCACAATTCCCATTCTTCCCAGACCCAGCGCCTTGCGACAGGACGAATTTGAAAACGGAACACAGATTAAAGAACTTCAAACCCTCCATAGTCACAGATAAAAAACGAAAGTTCGCGCCAAAATACGGTTTTTTTAATTTACTTTTTAAAACCTGACCACTGACTAGTAAATTTCTTTTTTTTTAATAATATTTAATGGCTTGGTAACAAGATCTTTAAGCCAAAGTAAATTTTCTCTTATAATATAAAAATATTATTTATACTCACAATTGCCATTCTTTCCAGACCCAGCGCCTTGTAACAGGACGAATTTAAATACGGAACACAGAATAAAAAACTTTAAACCCTCCATTGTCACAGATAAAGAACAAAAGTTCGCGCCAAAATGCGTTTTTTTTTTAAATTAAACCAAGCACCGGTCTTCAATGTCAGAACGACATCTCGTTCAGAGGACGTAGGCGGACTGATGCCACACTCAAGGTGAGGCGCAAAAATAAGTGGTCAGCGCGGAGGCAGTCTCGGAATTGGCCCGAAACATTTGCAAGATTTAAATTAAAAACCGGATAGACGCTTTATAATTCCAGAGAAGGTCGGTTTGTGCATAGTTTATCATTTGAGTAATACAAAACTATATAGGGTGTTAAATACTGTCTATAGTTTACGCGAGTAGTACACATTTAAATAAAACACTTAAACGGTTTAAAACCCTATGTCAGTACGTATTTGACCACGGCTCTGCAAATCATCCGAAACGTCGGGCCGAAGTTAAAAATCCTTTTCAAATAAGTTTAACTAATATATCGCGTTTTAAACCGTTAAAGTGTTTTATTTAAATACATAGGGTGTTGGTAGACTTATCACATCTAACCGTGCATTATAACCACGATATCAAAACTATTAAAAAAAACATAGCGCTAATTTTTATAGAAAATAAATAGCGCAAAGGTCGTTGAATTTTATCACACATGGTGTTCTTCTTCTTCTTGATAGATTTTCTATTCTAAATGGATCCCTTTAGACAAAATCACTTTAACGGTTTAAAACGCGAAATATATTAGTTAAACTTACTTGAAAATTGTATCTAACATAGTTCGCGTTTTAAACCGTTAAAGTGTTTTATCTCAATGTACACTACTCACGTAAACTACAGACAGTGTTCAAATGGAGCCTGCCAAAGTTATGTTTCAATGGGAGAGTCAAATTATGTTTTCAAAACTACTTAGAAGTTATCAACTATCCACCGATATGTTTTTCGTTAATTCGTTACTTCTCTCTTAATATAATCTATATCTATAGAATATAATCTATAAACACAGTTCGAAAACTTTAATATTTTTCACATGTTATTGCACATGATGGCTCTGTATAAATTAAAAGTCGATTATACATAAAAAAATACGATGTCATGTAGGATTCCGTAGATCAACAAAATGGTACGCTCTTGATGCCGGTTCGATTCCTGCCCGAGTCGTCATTTTTTTCAGTTTATAATCGATTTTTAATCAACACAGTAGTTAAAAAACAGTATGATCCCATTCCCGCCTATTACAGGACCGTATTCTAACAATGTTAAAATAAACATGAGTGACGACGGTATCATATTATTAAACTGGTCTAAACTAATAATATACTCGCAAGTTGTGACAGAAATAGTGAATGAAAAAACCAACGTAATCAAATTGATTTAGTATTCTTAGAATTGTTTTCCTTGTTTCATCATAAATGTGAAATCCAGTTTCCTCTAAATGGGGAAAAATGGAAACGGACACATTTCTGTGTCTGTTGCGTCGATTTAGTTTTACATCAATAGTTCATTTCTAGGGTTTTAACCCCTATTACCACTTTAGTATAGGCTGTAGTTTACGCGAGTTGTAAGCAAAAAATTACTAATATTTAAATTAAACACTTTAACGGTTTAAAACGCGAAATATATTATTTAAACTTATTTGAAAATTTTTAGACGTTTAGCCCGACGTTTTTTGAGATTGTTTTAATTTAATAAATAATATATTTTTATTTTAAGAGAAAAGAATTCACTGGTTATTTGCGGTACGCCTGAGTTCGATTTCCTGGGAAGAATAGCTTACTGTAAGTATATTTTTCCCTTCGTTTCAGACAGGGTTTAAAAGACAACAACACTCGGCGTCAAAAAAATTGCACCTTTTGAAATTCTGACTTCAAGCTAATATTACTCTTAACTTATTTATTGTATAATTTCAAAATCGAAAATAAACTGAAAAAAATACGACTCGGGCAGGAATCGAACCGGCATCAACAGCGTTCCGTGCTGTTGCTCTACCAATTGAGCTACCGAGTCACCTGAACAGTTCCAGTAACTTGAGCTGGTGTATAGTCTGCTGTTTACGCGATTAGTACACATTTAAAACATTTTTCAACGGTTGGACACGCGAAAAGTATTAGTTAAATTTATTTAAATATTAATTTGACTACGGCCCACGTTTCGGATGCATTTCAGCAGTCATGGACACGGGAAGACTAAATATGGGTGCCTCTAATGTGAAAGAACGGCTACGCTAGCGCCATCTGTTCCGTCATAATTGGTGTTTGGTAAAACTGGCCAGGTCCTTGCAGAATGGAGTAACGGTGTCTTCGCGTTCGCCGGTATACTGTTTATCGGGCTCTAGTGTTTTTAATATGGGATCCAAGATTTTGTATATCTTGAGGCCGTCCCTCCTTTAACCACTGAGTAGGTAATTATCATTATTAAGGGCTGTGATTTTTTTTATAATAAAGGAGGACAGTCAAGCATGGTGTTTACTTATTGGTGAAATACCCAGACATATAACTTCAACATAAGATGTGCTCTCGGCCTATTTTGGAAATGGTTATTTTGAATTTAAATAGCTATTCTGTAGTACGAAACTCCTTGATTTATTGCTGCGCTTAAAGACCGATGCCGATCTGACGCGACACGTCACGACACGACAGATAAATGTAGATTTGTCTTAACGCTATGCATCATGTATTATCATTGAACTATGGGAACAACAACGTTACGTCATATGTAACTTACCTAATAAATAACATAAATAATAAACAATCCTCGTCACACTAAGTGAAGAACTAAATGTATGACGTAGATAACATGTAATTATAATTAATAACTGCTAATCTATACTTTACTTACTAATATATAAAGCGGAAAAGTTTGTTTGGTTGTTCGTTTGAACGCGCTAAATTCGGGAACTACTGATTTGTATTGAAAAATAAGTTTGTGTTAGTTAGGGCACTTGTCGAGGAAGGCTATAAGGCTTATAAAATATCACGAAGATACAGCAGAAAATGAAAAAAATATGTATATATGTATAGAGTGTGAAATATAATTCCTCTTTAAATTATCTGAACAACGTCTGGGGCACTATATGTCTATCTTTTAAGATTAACTTCCAAAAATGACGGGACCCGAACGACGGGTCGCGAGTGACGGGTCGCAACCGATGTCGTGGGTAGCTTAAATTTATAAAGATGTTTGCAAAAACAAATTTAGATGCCCTGAGCAATTATTCTACGCGGACAAAGTCGCTGACACAGCTAGTTGTAGACAAGTTAACTAATTTAAATAAAACACTTTAACGGTTTAAAACGCGATATATTCATTAAACGATTTTTAAGTAATAAGTTTAACTAATATATCACGTTTTAAACCGTTAAAGTGTTTTATTTAAATGTGGAGTACTCGCGTAAACTATAGACAGTATTTAAGTTAACTAATACCGTCAAAAATGTGTTACTTAAATGTAGGACTTACGTAAACTACAGACAATACTAACTCGTCATAGTATTAAATTGACATCGATTCTCTCACTATATAATATGCATAATGTCTTTTTTTCTATATACATACTTACCTCATGTTAATTTAGGGAGTATTTTTATCATAATAGAGTGTGCTCTATTATGATAAAAATATATAAGCATGAATTAGGTACAAGGTAAAATACCAGCGATATAACATCATTATATATCATTATATAGGGTATTCGATTTTTTTTTTATTGAACTTCAGAGTCTATCAATATTGTGATGGTACATTCAAATACAATTTCAACCGCAATTAAAGCTTTTATTATATAAAAAAGGACAGCCACAGCTAAAACAAAAATCACACCATCGGTTCTTGATCGAGGGACGCATAACTATTATAACTGCTCATCGTCGCGATGCTAGTGTCCGGATATTTGTATGAACCGCCAGAGTTACTCTGTGGCCGCGACTCGCCAGAGTTCGGGGTCTGTGGCGGTTTCGCGCGTATGTCACTGTCAATGTCAAGTTTCGAGTCAACTGTCAAGGTACCAATTTCGGCGCCCACCTTCTTGTCTTTTACTAGGACGTACGCGCACTGACTGCTTCTTGTTATAAAACATCCCCTCCCCCTATTCCTGGTGGATCTGTATTTACGAATTCTTGTCAAGGTCGATCGCTTTCGACTGTCCGTTTTACTGATTCTGCTCGATTGTACGTTCTTGGAGTTTCTTAAAGAAGGCTGTCTAGAGTTGGCTGTTGTTATCTGAAAACAAACGTGCCAGTAACACAAACGGTCAAGAGCGAGTCGGATTGCGTAGAGGGTTCCGTATTAACGAGTAGGTGAACAGATCTTTTTACTTTTTGATATGAAACTCTAATCATGGGTGATTTTCAAGTTTATTTCTAGCGGCGTTAGAATTTAAGCAAAACATGAGCAGTTACTTCAAAATACTTGACTTTTTTTTAATTACTGAAATATTTATTACCAGCTGTGCCCGTGACTTCGTCCGCGTGGAATAGCGACTTGGGGTAGAATTTTTATTTATTTAGGCTGTTTATTAATTTATGTAAGGGCGCATTTAAGGCAGCCAATCTATGTTGTAAGTGCTACTTTGCCATAACACTCACTTCACATCACTCTTACTCTAACTCCCACTCTCATTCCCACTTCCACGCCCACACCTATTCCCAAAAAGCAAAGAAGAAAGTTTCATTGTTTTAGCTTCAAAAACCACGACTTTCCATTTTCCAAACTCAAACCCTAAAAGTGTTGATAGGGCTATGTCCTTTCTCAGGCTCTAAAATATCTGTGTATTAAATTTCATTTAAATCAGTTAAGTAGTTTCGGAGTTAAAGCAGGACAGACATACAGACAGAGTTACTTTCGCATTTATAATATTAGTTTAGATTCTTGAACTATGTATTGGGAATTGAATTATGTAACTATATTCTAGAACTTGAGATACATAAAGAATGTTACAGACGGGATTCGAACCTACAGTGCTGACAATCCTATCAAAGGTTCTAAGCGACGTAAATAAAAATGCACCGACATCGTGACTGTTATGTAAAGATATGGCTCGGCATATAACATAATCCATTATTATTTCATCATCATAAATCGATTAGAAGTATGTTAGATCCGGTGGGGATCAAACCTACGGCTTGTTGATTGTCAGACGTGCACAGCTACCAGAAGACCAACGATGCGTCGGGTAGTAGGTAGGTAGGGTTTGATTCCCTCCAGGTTTATAAAGTATCTAAAAACTTTGACACATTTCTGTAAATAAAGTAAAGTTCTCCAGATTTCTAAACGCACTGTTCCGTCTAGAAATCTGTCTGAAATAATGAGTCAATATCGAAATATCGTCCGCGAACCACCATCTATGGATGGATAAGTTTAATCGCGTTTCGGTTGCAGTCTGTTTCTTTCTAAATATTCGAGGCCAACATCGACAGCACGTCCTGTTAAGATTCTGTCGACCTATTTTCGCTTTGGATACGACTGAAACCGAAACGCGATTAAACTTCACGGCTTTATCCTCTGTGGGCGGTGGTTCGTCACCAGGACGGAATTTCGATATGCCTACCCTCCCATTTATTATCCAGATTTCCAACGACCAGACGAAGTCCAACATGTTTCGGAATTATAAATTGATTACAAAAATGTAGGACTCAGTGGGGAACCCACGACCCGTTGATTATTGGCCGTACTTTGCTACCATTACACCAACGAGCTGGCGTATTTCAGCTTCCACCACGCGAATCTCCCCCCCCCCCCCTATCATAAAAAACATGAACCTTCGTCAAAGAGGTGCGCTTGTTCAGCTCATCTATAAGCTTCGGAAAAGCTGCGTTGTGACGCTTCACCCTGGCAACTCGACCGATGCCGCTCCTCTTCCCCCGAGCCTCGTACTGTTCTTGGTGAGTGTCCCAAAACTTGTCAACGCCATTTTTGGTTCTCTACAATGATTTAAAAAATAAAATACAATGCTATGTTTAATACTGTAAAGAATAGTATTTTTAATACTGTCTGCAGTTTCAGATATAAAATACTTTTAAACGGTTTTAAATGCGAAATATATTCGCTAACTTATTTAGAATTTATTTTACCAACGACCCGACGTTTCAGAAGGTTTTTTTTTCAGTCCACCCCGCGACGACAGTACGCTGCATTGCATCCAAAACATCGGACCGGAGTTAAAATGAAGTGTAGATAAGTTAACTAATAGTACTGTCTAAGTATACGCGAGTAGTTCACATTTAATTATAACACTTTAACGGTTTAAAATTATTAGTTAAAATGATTTTTAACTTCGGCCCGACGTTTCGGATGCTTTGCAGCAGCCGTGGTCACGGCGAATCCCTTCTTATTTTTCAAATAAGTTTAACGAATATATCGCGTTTTAAACCGTTAAAGTGTTTTATTTAAATAACTAATAGATGTCAATGTTTAGAAAAGCGTTGTATTTAAATATTTATATGAAAAAACAAATTATCCCTGATCAGTACTTGTAACATAACTAACACTAATAAATTAATCTTTAAATTTATTTTAAAAATTAATTAATGTCTTTATTTAATACACTTTTCCTTTTCTAAACACCCTTTTTTTTTTTTTTTTTTTTTTTCATTTTTTTTTCCCCCCCCCCCCCCCCTTTTCCCTTTTCCCCCCCTCCCCGCTTCTTTTTTGTCTCCCGCAAAGACCGAAAGTCGGGACGAAGGGCCCCGGGGCCCCCCCCCCCCCCCCCCCCCCCCCCCCCCCCCCTTGATCCCGTAATCACTGCTGCTCAAAGTCCGAAACGTCGGCGAAGTAAACATTAACTAATATATCGCGTTTTAAACCGATAAAGTGTTTTATTTATATGTGTACTACTCGCGTAAACTATAGACAGTATTTAGTCTTTTATTTATTTTAAAGATTAATTAATAGTCTTTAATTAGTCTATAGTTAGACGGTTTGGGTGGACGGACTATTTGGTGTAGCAGATGACAAAGCCGTCAATTTTAATTTTATTCAGTCTCTGGATTTCCGAATAGATCCACCGCGTATTTGTTAGACGCTATAGGCTGGGGTATTTACTCCCACCAAGAGAACCCCCCGTTCTGTACTATTCTCCTTGATCATAAACTAGTGTCTAGCGACTTGTCATTGATTGTAGGCAAATAAATATGTACACATTATAAAACCTAGCCTATTCAGCGTACATCGTTTGCATGTGAATCATTTAGGAAGATATACTGTCGCGGAATTTTTTGATTTTCGATCGATTCTTTCATACATATGTATGTATTAGGGACCTTGAAGTGTTTTTGGAGCGTACGCAAGGGAAACTCTTAAAGATGAATATATTTCCCCCTATTTCTTCCACTTATTGGTCGCACCATGATATTTTATAGCCTTCCTTAATGAAGGCTCTAACCAACACCATTTTTTCAAACCAGTAGTTGCATGAGATTGGCGCGTTCAAACAAACAACCTCTTCAGATTTATATATTAGTAAAGATGTATATAGATAAGTCTTCTTATCCCCGCCCAGAGTATATTGGTGCATGGTATACCTGAGCTGGTTTGCGGTTCCTCATCGGCTGGGGCCCGTCCTCCTCCATGATACTGACGAAGCAATCCAAGATACCGGTTGGATTTTTATAAATATACTTCATGCCAAATTAATCTTTAAGGAAAAACTACATTTTTATTAAATCTTCGTTGTCGATTATGACCTTTCCTGTTTTTAGTAGTGGGGGTTGAAAAATAAAGCAATTAAAAAAAATATTTATAAAGTTCACAAACATGTTTATAGGTACGCGAAAGCTTTATATAATTCTATATTTAATTAAAAAACAAATAAACGATACGCGGGTGTCGAACCCACGATATGAATTGAGAATGAGCCAAAATAGAGTTGCTCAGTTTCCGTACATATTGTAACGTTTCTTGAATTGTTTTTGCAACGTCACTCTTTATAAGCCTAAAAATTCCTTTCCTTGATACATGGCCCAACCAACACAAAAATATTTTTTCAATTGGAACCAGTAGTTCCCGAGCTTAGCGTGCCAAACAAACAAACTCTTCAGCTATATAATATTAGTATAGATTATGTTTTCTATCATGTGCAAATTGCATCCAAATCGTATACATTTCAAATTTTATTTCTTTTGAGCTTTTAATAACTATCAAATGTCTAAGGAGGAGTCTTTTTTTTTTAAAAAAAAATTAAAATAACAATTTGGGGTTATTCTATTGGTCACAATAAACAGAGAAAATAAGCAAAATCTATAAGCATCAAAGACAAACAGTATTCTTTACTTTGTATTCCTCCATTATAACTGTAAATAATATTAAATACTTACTTATACAACTCATTTAGTCGCTGTAGCCCTCTTTTTATTTAATTTGTTCACTTTTTCAATTTTTATTGCTAGGCATCTCTCTATTGTCAATAGATTTGACAAATAATGTGTTCTAATACTCATAATTCATAAACAATAAACCTTATAGGATTTTATATAAAGAATATTTAATATTTTAACAGATTTAACAGTTCAAAACACGTAATATATCAGTTAACTTATACTATTGTTCCCCCCTATAACCACAGCTGCTGCAAAGCATGGAAACATAAGGATATATTCGAAATAAATTATCTTATACATTTTGTATTTTCAAATGTTAGATGTGTTATATTTAAAATTGTACTACTGACATTACTTTCTATTGAGAATACAGTTTGGAGGCCGGGTGATCAGTCGACATTATCTTCTGGCTATTTTGCCAATTTGCCTACAGAAGACTTTGGATTATTAAACTCTCACAGTTTGCTTGCAAAATTTTATTATTTACAGACAGTAATCAATAAAAAAAGGAACACTTTTTTGTTAGTATATTAAGAAGTATCACTTTAATATTGAAATTGTCTTATTTAATATTTATCAAATGTATGATGAAAACTGAGTCATAATTAATTAAAAAATTGCATCTTAACCTTCATTTAAATTTAATTAGTCAATGCAATTAAACAATAAATCAGATCACCCAGCTGCCGAACGAGCCAGGATGCCCTATTTCCTACAACTAGGTTGAAAAGTCAATGACAGTGACCTATGCTGCTGCTGTAAGTAGTTAAGCTACAGGTTCTCGCATCGCCAAAATACTTCACTCCATTGATAGTTGTACCTTTTGCCATTAAAGATTAGCATACATAAAATCAAGCGAGCTTGTAGGCATATTCTTATTACAATTGTACTGCAGTAGTACAACTTTGTATTCCATGTTTCTTACTTCATTATTCCACTTATACTAACACAATGAAACAATATAGATGTGAAAAGTAGTTGTTTAATCCTTACATCACATGACTTAATAGGTACTTTTGGTAGTAATTAGAAATACTTAAATGTATGTTATGGACTATCGACGACCGCGACCACGGCCTCCCCTGCCGCCTCTCGGGCCACCGCGTCCACCTCGACCTCTGCCCCTTCCGCCTCGAGTTCCACCTCGTTGGAAACCTTCGCGTTTTCCTCTACCCTTCGGTGTGTCATCTATCAGAAGTGTTTCTAGCGGGAGACTGTCTGGGAGTAGGTAGTACCGAATGTTATTCCCACGTATGCTCAATGTGTCTAGCTGGAGCTCATCTTTATTCTTCAGTGTTACCTTTACAGCTTTAAGATGTGTATTCATGGCGACATCGACGCCGGTAATCGTCCCGTGGACCACGCTACCGTTTTTCAGCTCAATTGTTACGGTCTCGTGACTGAGCTTCATTAAAAAACGTACTAGCTTCATGTTTGTTGCAATTTATCGACTTATGGGAACAGTAGAAGGTGATTTGCCGGCCTTTTTAATTAAAAAACTTGTCCAAAATACAACCTCCAAAACCAAAAACACAAAAGATGCACAATTGACAAGTTAAGAATGACAGTAGCTAACGTCAAAGGAGAAAAGCAAACGTCAGAAATATCTATGGTATATGTTGCCAGTAAATGGCAGAGTAGAATTGTAGCAGCGAGCGATATTTCGACGGAAACCTTGGCAACAGAAATACATTAATGGATCATAGCATTTTTTTATCGTAATCGAACTTTTCTTTGGTACAGCAATGAATGCTGAAGTCGTTGTGGAAGATCCCCATATCGACGCAGAAGCAGAACCAGAAGAACAGGAAATATCTGTTTGTGCGCGTTTGGTTCTCACAAATGAACAGGTCTAATTTTTTTTTATTTGATTCCTTTAAAAAAAACAATTATATGAATATTTAAAATTATTACGTATTAAAATTGAAATTATAAAATTGTGTATGCATGATAACCCCTTTTCAAATAACATAATAATCAATAATATCAAAGTCTAAAAATATCAGGTTGGCTTTTGTAACCAATAGAGGTACGTATCACGTAATGTCATTTAACAATAGGTTTCTTACAACATATAACAATGGAAAATATTGCGTTAGATTTGTCTGTAACAGCAGAGATTTCCGACAAAGAAACCGAACAAAATACAGAAACAAGCGAAGCTATAAAATTTACAGATGTAAAAGCAAAGTTAAAGCTAACGCAAATGCAGGTGCAAGGCACTTATTTAGATTTTAAGAAAAATTTAAATATTTCTTAAAATCTAAATAAGTATATGTGTATAAGTAGCGGCACGTATCTTTAGCGCTGAACAAATCCTGCGCAGAAGTTAAAAGTAAGGTGTCGAAGGGACGGAAGTGGGGTGCGGTGCGTGTGCGCGAGAGTCGATTGGTTTCCCAGTCGTGTTGTGTTTCTAGGACCAAGACGACGCTCCGCTTGTTTCTAGAGTACAGTCACGTTTTCCAATCAATTACGTTCGGGATTGTATAGATGCGCAACTATCCCCTCTACATTTTTTTCAGCGCTAAACATCCGTGCTGCGACCTAAACTAACGTAGTGGCAATTTTTATTTTATAATAAGTATTCATTACATAAATTTCAGAAAAATGACCTACATGAAGCATTCAATCTTTTGGATTACAATGGGGAAGGGAAAATCAAAGCAGAAGATTTTCGCGTTGCTATCAAAGCTCTAGGTACCTCTAACTGTATTAAATATACGACTGTAATAAGATAATATTATAATAAATTTAAATAATACATTATTTTAAGGCTATGAACCCACAAAGGAAGAGCTTCAGAAAATGATTAACGGCGTCGATAAAGGATTAACTGGGAAACTAAGCTTTGAAAACTTTGAGACCGCTATAATGCGAAAAATTATGTCTTTAGACAATGATGGCGATATTATGAAGAGCTTTAGACTCTTTGATATGGACGATTGTGGTATTTTATATTTTGTTCAACATTTTTGTAACTTTAAAACAACACTGCAAACATTAATAAAGATATTTTTATAGGGTTTATTAGCTTTGAAAATTTAAAAGAAGTAACTAAAATTCTGGGAATCCATTTATCTGATGAAGAAATAGAGGAAATGATTGATGATGCTGATAAGGACTTTGATGGCTTTGTGAGTTGAAAACTACTTTTGACAAAGTTTACTAGTAATAAAATGTTATTAATTTTTAAACTGATGTTACAGATTTCTGTGCAGGAGTTCATGAGGATGATAAAGAATTCTGTGGATATTGTGACACCTTAATTTTATTTATTGTACAATTACTTATGCGTAATAAAATATTTATTGTTAATAATTTTGTTTCTTTCTTCTCTATGGTTACAATTTTTTTACAGATGGCAATGTATAAAAAATTTTTAAAGAATAGATGTAGAGTAAATTGACATGTGACATTGTTTGGCATACTGGTATTTCAAACTGATAAAGGCTTTATTACTATAAAAAATAATATGTATTGTGTTATTATGGTACAATTTTTACTTTTAATAAGAATTTAACTATTGTAAGTGCCTTTTTTCGTTTATAAAACGTTATAAAGTACACGCATTGCATCACCATAATTAGACGGAACTGCTATGGAAATGGGTAAGTTTCTTTAAAAACAGTAATTCCATATAATAAATTCAAACCAGTCTTATTTTTCTATGTGGTAAAGAGTTCTATTATTATTTCATTTAATAGCGCCTATGGAACGAGACGATGTGGTAGATAACACAGCAGTTTTGTATTTAAACAAACAAACAAAAAATTTTTTTTTTTTTTCCCACAAAATACAAAACCTCTGTGGTTTTAACGAAAGTTAACTATTTGTTGTCTCGGAGAAATATTTTTACATAGTTTTTCTTGCTTCAAGTAGTAAGTAATTGGTCTTTTTTAATGTCCTCTAAGTGAAGAATTTGTGTATTTTTGAGTAAGGTACTTTGTGCTTAATGTGTTCTTCAAATAAAATGAACATCACAGATAATAGTTATAAATGCACTTAGTGTTTGCAACAGTATATTTGGTGGTTTCTTTTTAACATAGTGTAAAAAACTGCTTAACAATGTCTGCAAGATACACAGTAGCTCAATTGGTTAAAGCATAGAATGCTGTGGTCGTCACTTCAATTCCCCCCAATGTCATAATTTCGTTTCAATCTATAATCGATATACACTACCTGCTTACTCTGCTAGCGCAGCTATAATTAATTTGAAAGTGTATTACTACATGGTGTAACAAATATATGAACTTTAATGTAGATATTTTTGCTTTGTGTTAACAGTCACTTAATGTGAAATTGATGAAATTTTATTTTTCAGACACAGACTGCGTATCTCTACCGGAAACATGTGAAAATCTAATGATTAATGTTGTAGAAACTCGTAAACATTTCGGCAAAAAATGTTTGGAATACCACCAAAAGACAGCTCAAGTTGAACACGCTATGTTAAATTTACAGCTCAAAGCTATATCCAACTCAAAACTGCCCAAATCCAAACATCAGATCCCTAATTTGCCATACGATAAAATGATTCACGACATGGATGATTTCAAAGAGGAAATACTGGCTGCTGAGAGAAAGCTACATGCAATAGATAATAAAATTATGAACACCGAGAAAATTGTTACACAGATAATAAATGATCGCATTAATAAGCAAGCTAAAATACCTATAACAACAGAAAGTTTGATAGCATGTGCTAAAGTTTGACATCTAGAATCATAGTACTAGAGAATCATTAGAGAAGTAATGAGATTCATACAACTTATTTTAAACCACAGTTTTATTTAACATTGTATGTGGACTTAATGCTAGTTTGTCTCTGTAATTATTTTAATAAATGTATTAATAAGTTACTATTTAAAGAACATGTTTGATTAATAATTTTGTTTCCTTTTTATTTATAGAAAAAATTGGTTATGTGTGATTTTCTTTGAAAAGTAACCAACAATTCCACTATTTATTTCAATTTTAGTAGTAACTGTACATGGCACGTAAAGTCTTAGCTGTGGGGTAAATTACAGATAATAAACCGGTAAACCAGAGACAACGAAAGATATTCGTGGTCTTGAAATTATAATTTGCTTTTGCTTTGGAAAGTTTTGTAACTGAATATTCTCCAATAATAATAAAAATTCAATCTGTGGCACTAGTAATTGCCATGGTAACAGAATTATGTTTGGTCAACTATTCTAGTGTCACGGAAACGCAGAAAGTATTCCAGATACCTCATTTACTTCGTTATGTCTGATATTCAAAGCCTTTTTAAACAAAGTTGCATCATACCCGATGTAATAACTATAGCACCGTCTGAAATACTTAATATACAATATCCCAGTGGCGTCACTGTTGATTTGGGAAAGGAGTTGACACCGACACAAGTCAAAGATAAGCCTATTGTTAAATGGGCAAGTAAAAACACAGAGTATTACACTCTTGCAATGGTAGACCCAGATGCACCAAGCCGAGAAAATCCTAAATTTCGCGAATGGCACCATTGGCTTATAGTAAATATTTATGGTGGTGACTTAAATACAGGTGAAGTTCTGTCAGATTACATCGGTTCCGGACCACCGAAAGGAACGGGATTACATAGATACGTATATTTGGTATTTAAACAACAGGAAAAAGGCGATTTTTCAAAAGTACCGAAATTGCCAAGCAATTCAGGGGACAAAAGAGGCAAATTTTCAGTTGCTAAGTTCGCCCAAGAGTATAAACTTGGAACTCCCGTGGCTGGAAATTTTTATGTCGCTAAATACGATGACTACGTCCCAAAATTGTATGCCAAATTGAAAGGATAAATTTGTAATAATTCTTATTATATTTTTAAAAATCAGTAAAAAATTAACCGGTAAATCGAAACTTTGTCTATGGTTAAGTCGATAACCGTTTCCGCCTCCGCGTGCGTGACATTAATCATTTTTTCGCTCAAGTCGCCATCATCCGCCATTACATTTTGGAGTTTGCGTAAATTGGTCGTTGCACTGTCTCCGTGCCGCAATCACTCAGCGTTATCAGTGACAGTTGTTCTGTGCGTTGCATCGCAGTGTTTTATTGAAACAAAGAGTATCGACGTTATATCGTATGTCCATCCAGAATCTCAACACATTCGACCCATTTGCCGATGCTATCAAAAGCTCGGAAGACGATGTCCAAGATGGATTAGTCCACGTGCGGATCCAGCAACGGAACGGGCGTAAGACGCTAACAACGATACAAGGCCTCTCGTCGGAATATGACTTGAAGAAAATCGTGCGGGCATGCAAAAAGGAGTTTGCGTGCAACGGTACAGTCGTCGAACACCCGGAGTACGGAGAGGTTCTTCAGCTGCAAGGGGACCAACGTGAGAACATTTGCCAGTGGCTAACGAAGTCGGGCCTAGTGAAGCCCGAACAACTCAAAGTACACGGTTTCTAGACCTCTAACATGTGTGACATCATCATAGTATCGAAATCGTGCGCGTAACCTATCGAATTATGTATTTAGAAAGCACAGATATTTACAGAGATTATATTAAAAGAGGCCCGCCCCGCGCCCTGTGCCTTGCTGTCTCCCACTAATGTAAAAATAAATATTTTTGACTAATCGACGCCGTCTTCGCAGACAGCTTTAGTTGCAATTAACTCACGAAATACATAGTAAATAACTCAGTTTTGTTTTTTACGACATTACTATTAAATTGCTGTAATAAGTATATGATGTGTCTCAATAATTAAAACATGTTTTTGTATGTGCATCTTTTATTTACGCCCCAATTAATGTACAGGACATTAACGGTATTTGTGAAAGTGGATTTGCCACCTCGCACCGGTACCTTAGCAAAGTACCACCTTGCGATATAATGAACGCTTGTTAGTCTTGACTTTGACAGATTCTAATTTTAAAAAATGTCTCTTAATCAGCTGATCTTTAACTTGCTGCGTAGAATTTAAAAAAAAAATCCATTAGGACGCATAACGAGAAATCGAGCAAATATAAAAAAACCTAGTCAATACATTGAGGTGTCAATTTTATTAGTGCTATATTTCCTAGATTCTAGAAACAGGCCGCTGATGACGTAGCAAGGTATCTTTCAATACAAGGAAGCTGCGCGTGCGCCGTGACTCATGCCCTCGATTATATCGCAAGGCAAAGTTGAGGTCATCTGTATAACAAAACAAAATATTCAATATAACTTATTAGCACATACATTAAAATGCAGATGTTGTAAATATTCCTCTGTTTGTTACATACCATATATACAATAAATTAGTACAAACAATCAATTGGCAAATAGATTGTATGAAACAATAAAAACTAAATGTTTAGTAATTAAGAACTCGATGATAATAATTTTATTATACATTTTTATTTAGATTTTAGTAATTTATGTCTAATGCACTGTCTTAGTCATTCATAATAGTAGGATATCATTTTGTATTCTTAACTAGTTTATAGGCTGCATCTAGATGCAAGTATCCTATGAAATAAGTATAAGAAATGTACATTGGTAAAAGGTATGTAAACTTTTGTAGTAGCACGATATATAAAGAAACCCTTTTTCTTAAATAAAAAAATGTATCCCCTTACTTTACCTGTGTCAAAAAGGTATATATTTGTAGTCTATATTATTACTGTCAATGTCAATGTAGTTGCTGTCATATATCATAATTGAAGTTTGACGTTATGTACAACTTACAAAAAAATATACATGCAAAGAATTGAAAATATTAAGTTGGATTAAATTAAAATTATTTTCGTTTACATTGTGCAAGAAAATTAATACCTTAATATTATATCTTATTGTAAAACTAAGGATGCAGTTATTGTTAAACTGTTAAAGACACTTACTATATAAGGGTAGTCCAAATCGGTAATGACTAACATTAACTTGATCGTGTTGTAGTCCAGTTTTCGACGGATTTATTGTTAAATTCATTGATGTTTTAGTACGAAAATGTCAGATAAGCATTTGAAGATAGGACAAAGAGTTCTCGTCACAGGGAGAAATGCTAAAGGTGCCGTTGCCTATGTGGGATATCCTACTTTTGCACCTGGAAAATGGATTGGCGTTATATTGGACGAAGCTGTGGGGAAAAATAATGGAACCGTTCGAGGACATGCCTATTTCCAGGTAAACATTAACTACTCAAACCATCAGGTAGTTTATCATCACTACACCAACAAATATTAAAAGATTAAGTACTTTATAAGTTACAGCCATTTCGATATGATTCTAACTATACTATTCACTTGATTGACCTCATCATCTACTTAATAAATAATATACGTGCCCAGTGCATATTTGTTGGTCCAGTTTTTCTCTGCTAATTTGTTCTGTATAAACCTTTCTACTTTCATTGTTGTAAGAACTTAGTATGTTAGTGGTTTTTATTGTTAACACACTGGAAGAGACTAGTTGCCCACAACACAGGAAACTGTAATGTGTTAAAAATTATAAACATCATTTTTTGACTGTATAGAAATCAGTATATAAATATTGCTTAGAAAATATCTATATATAACAAATGTAGTAGTTTACCTCTCTACAAGGAGGCAATGGGTGAAGTGGTCAGCCAATGGTGTGGACCGATCACCTGACTTGCTATGGGTGTCCCTGATAGGAAATAAGAATAAAAATGTTCTAGTTATGTCGTTATTGTTCAAGCTGACTATTGATAAGAGAACTGACAGAACTGGTTATAAAGCTTGATAATAATATTATTTTAATAGTTTGCAATAGAAATATTGTGTGACCTCCTCAACTTCTGAATCTGGCACCATGAATAAGAAACAAGTTTCTAGCTACTTTAAAAAACTTTCTATTTCATTATTATCATGAGTTCTAAGAACAGAACAGAAAAATAAATATTACTCAAAGTGTAAATAGTGCAGATGATAGATGAGAACTAATTTATTCTTGTTAAATTAAAGAATGATGGCAAAAATTCTATTTATTGTATATGGTGACTGAAAAATATATCCATTCTGTTTCCGATATAAGAAAAAACAGTTTGGTTGAACACAACTCTACATTAAATTTAATTGTTTTGATTGCTGTTACTTCCTTGTTAGTCTAATGGTTGGTATAACCGCATATCCTTTGGGGGAGTCTGGATTGCATCCTGGATCTGGCAAAATATAACTTATGCATTAAAATTTTTACCAAGAAAACACATAGCTCGAGTTTCAAAGTAGGAGGTGCGATCACCAACATGTCTCAGAAAGCATATCAATTCGACCCAGTCAACAGCACTAATTTAGTCTATGTTGTGTGATGAAAAAAAAAAACACTTTAACGGTTTAAAACGCTATGTATATTAGTTAAACTTACGAGATGTCGGGTCATACTTACGATAATTTTTAAATACATAACATAATTAACTAATATATATCGCGTTTTGAACCGTTAGAGTGTTTTATTTGAGTGTGTACTCCTCGCGGAAACTACAGACAGGTACATACTTATCAATACTTCGTTGCATTCCAGTGTGATGAGAACTGCGGTATGTTTGTTCGTCAGACCCAATTGCAGTTCTTGGATGCTGAAGATAATCCAATGGAGACATCGATGACTACTTCCAGCGAAGAGAGTAAATCTTCTATACCTAATAGGAGACTGAGCAGGTACGTCTTACTTTGTGACTGAAGTCTAAATAAAATACCACTTATATTATAGTACATATATGAGAAAAAGGTTTATAAATTAGTATATGACAGATAGGCACAGACCCCGACTGGTTAAATATTAGAGGCCCCGAGAGCAAAAAAAATAATCTATACTTCTATACTAATATTATAAATGCAAAAGTAATTCTTATGACTGTCTGTCTGGCTGTAACTCCGAAACTACTGAACTGATTTAAATGAAATTTGGTACACAGATATTGTAGAGCCTGAGATAGGACATAGGATACTTTTTAATGTCAAATAAGGGTCGAAAGGGGTTGAAAAAGGGGATGAAAGTTTGTATGGAAATTCGTGGTTTTTGAATCTAGAACATTGAAACTTTCTCCTTTGGCTTTTTGGGATTATGAGTGGGAGTGGGAGTGAGAGTAAAGTGAGTGTAGGAATGAGAGTGGGTAGGTCGGATGTTCAAGTAGCACTTAAACAAGAATTGCCTGCCTTAACCTTACATAAATTAATAAACAGCCTAGATATTTAAAAATTCCACCCCAAGTCACTATTCCACGCGGACGAAGTCGCGGGCGCCGGAGTTAGTACTCAATAAATTGTTTTTCAATTTTAGTAATTATTTCATTCTTTTTTTCTTTAATTACCTATACTTCTGGTGGTCATCCTAAGTACTTAATTTGCCTGAGTGGCCCGGGTAGTCTTTAATAATAATTAGTATAGTTGTTTTTTTAATTTAATGATTATTTACTCATCTAGCTTTATAGTTTTTAAGTTCTATTCAACACGACGATAAAATAAAAATATTAATTATTTATTGATAAAAAAAATACAAACATTACATGGGAAAATGTTTGTGCCTTGAAAAAGCTCACCGCTGTGGTGACTGTAGTGGAAGGGCCAAGCAATTAAAATACATTTATGAATATTGGTGCAGAATTATAATATTTACCATTTTAACAATATCTAAATCCAAAATAGGTTGAGGTAATATGAAACTTATTTCACTATCAAGAACCGTGCTTGTTCATCCATATAACAATTATTATAACAATTACATAAAAATGTTTAGCATATATTTAGATCAATGTTTCGTAATGTAAATGGCAAATATATTGATTTGTTATATTAAATTATCTTTTTAAAATAAAGGTAGTTTTATACAGTTTTATTTAGCTCGACTCGTACGGAATTTATTTTATGGGTCTAAATTAGAAATTTAAATTTAAGCACCTTCTCGTTCTCGGATTGATCTAAAATTCGGTACACACATTTAGTTTAGATGACAATACTATATAATAAAATCAATAACATTATAAATCCAAGATGGCCGCCGATACAAAATGGCGGATTACATATTTTTCCATAACCCCCTCAATATGGGTATCAAATGAAAAGGCTACACTGGTAAAACACGATGATTATGTCAATTTTTTTCTTGTAGTTTTCAGTGCACGAAAAATAGAACCGTTTAACTTAAAAGTTTTTCTAAGTTGATACTTGTTTTTATTATCGTTAGTATGGCGACACATTTCTGTTAATCATCTAGGTAGGTAGTGTTGCCATTATTAACTTTTAATACTGGATTTAATTAAAACTTATTTGTTAGTGCATCTATAAAAAGACCATGCCTGGACTCCGGTAACAAACGTTATACAAAGCAAGTATAATAAATTAGCTAGGGAAAGCTATACTGAGCTATTTTGTCTGTAACACAGCTAGAATGGTTTTTTAGTAGAAAATAATTTGAGTTACAAAGTTTCGAGATTATAAAAAAAATATGATTTTGTATTACTTTGTTTGTTGCTCTCATCACATCTATAGCGTAAGGCGTTAGGGGTCCTGGATTCAAGTCCAGGAGAAACAATGTTGTTAAAACCGAGTAGACACAGTGTTCGCCCCATTATCCATGGGGAAAATGGGATTTTAATTTTATGTCACTCATTGCTCCGAAAGGGTTAGACCGATTGTTATGTAATCTGTTTTGTGTCTATCGGTTACTATTTGTTCTACACACCCAAATTTATTTTTTTTTTGTATTTAAAATGAAATTAAAATTTATGTACAACTAAAAATGTTCACCCCACCTGTCGCCAAAAACCAAATTTGAATAATATCTTTATTTATCCTGTCATTACTCATACCCACAATACGTTAGTTTTTTTTCTACATTAGATTTTTTTATTTAGCCATAATATGTAAAAATAAGAAAGTTATACATGAGAAATTCAATTTTCAAGGAAAAACAAACTTAGATGTAGACGATAGGTGTAATGTTTTTGTTGTATTTTTTGTAGACATTAAAACCGTTTTAACGGTTTAAAATGCGAAAAAGAACTTGTTGAAAATTTTTTGACTAATACGTTACGCGTTTTAAAACGTTGAAATTGTTTTTAACTACTTTTTTGTAGTTTCTAGTTTTAACTGATAGTGTGTGTTTGTTTGCTAGTATAACAGTCGCGCAGAGATGTAGACCAACTACGTAAGTACTTTTAGATCTATAGATCACGCTTGGCTTTGCGCACCTAAGCTTAATGTATAGTTGTCAGAGAGTAGTAATTTTAATGACACAAGCGGGATTCGAACCAATAGAACATATGTGTTAAGGTAGTACAATTAAGCGCAAAAAACAAGTCTAAAAGGTTATACTAATACATATATAGTACATCATATGTATTTGGCACGACACGTGGGTTCGAGTCCTATCTGTTTCATGCGTCTTCAATTTTTTTTTCAAGCTAAGTAAAAACTGTAACGAATTTATGACTCCAAAAAATTATAGCAACTTCTCTGTAGTTTTTAAAATATTCCAAATAAAAAACTAAACACTTTTGTTTAGTTCTTTATTTGAAATATTTTTTATGTTATAAAATGGCGGGAAAAACTAAAAGAAGTTATAAAAGACTTTGTCTATGTTTTTTACAAATTGTATGAGATTGGCTTAAAGGTCTAGTTACCAGGCCATAAAAAAGTTATAAAAAAAAAATTGCGGCCATATTTAAATGCTACTCGGGTTTTTCATAGATTCGTCGTGAAAGAAAAACATCTTCGATCGACGAACAGTTTCCAAACCCAAGTAGATTTTTAAGTATTGTTTTTTAAGCCAGTCTTTTAAATTATATGAATACTTATATTGCAATGTTGCTTATCTGTTACACAGCAAATATACGGGTTGCACCATGGTAGTGCCGGCGGAAGTAAAAATGTTGTTATTAATATTTTGCATTTTTTTATATTTTAGAATGTTTAGAATATAATTTTTTACATGAATTGTTCTAACCAGTATAGTATGTCTGACTATGTAATAAAATCAATAACATTATAAATCCAAGATGGCCGCCGATGCAAAATGGCGGATTACATATTTTTTCTTAACCCCCTCAATGTGGGTATCAAATGAAGGGCTACACTAGTGAAAAGTTGTAGTTTTGAGCGCAAAAAAAATAAACCGTTAAACTTTTTATATTCGGGCATTACGCAAAAAAATGCACAACATCACAAAAAAAGATGTCACACCAAAACTAAATGTATTTTTTATCTGTGTAAATGATTACAAGATTGCTATTTGTTCTGTACGATTAATGTTTTTTTGACTTAAGAATTGGTTATTGCGATTTACCTATGGTCTCGTGACCACGGTGTATGTCGCGTTTTCAACCGGTAAAGTATTTTATTCCAATATACCTTTAAGGTCGGATATTTGTGCATTATGTAAACTAACATACAATTTAAATGAAGGGTGCGTCGCAAGGCGTCGCCGGCGCAGTCCAAAGCTGGGACGTTGTCGATGTCAAGGTAACGATTTAAGCTGATACGCACTTGTATGCTATGCACAATATTGTATCTGTATGCTCCATAGTCTATCTTTCTTTTTGCATATTTTACTTTCAAAGCTTCACTTTTAGGGGGGGGAGGGGGGGGTGTTAAAAAGCTTATGTACGTATGTCATCACAGCGCCAGGCATTGTTAAAAGCATAAAAGGTCTCAACCGAAACAATACACACAATGTTACAGATACGGACACCATGAAGTGGGAAGAGGGGGGGCGTGGTGTAAACATCCTTGTTACGTAACGCGTTATGACTTCAGTTCAATGTATTACACTTAAGCTACCTTGTTCAGTCCAATTAGAAAGGGTCTTTTTAAAACATAAGTCCCAAGTTATGTACAGGCTGTTATTAAAAAAAAGTATAAATTGGGGTGGTACTAAATTTGACCATAGATAATAATGTCAATTATTATATTTAAGTATTGTTCAATTAGTGAAGTAGCAGCTCGAGTGTGGTCGTAAGTTCGAGAGCCGCCCATATTATTTATTTTTGCTCACAACCAAACGTCTAGTAATACATTTGGCTGGCTATTTGTTGAAAGCACTTAGTAATTATAGTGCATGTTAGGCATTACTTTTTGATTATTTAAACGCATTTTCTGTCACAGCGCCAACTTTTGTAATCTTAGACCCCCCCCCCCCCCGGCGGCGGGGAACCAAAAAGCCCCCCCCGGGGAAATTTTTTAAAAAAGGGGGGGGGGGTATTTCCCCGGGTTTTAAACCGGGGGGGGGTTTTCCCCCAAATTTTCCAAAGGGGGAAAAAAAAAAAAAAATTTTTTTTTTTTTTTTTTTTGTTTGATTTTTTTTTTTTTTTTTTTTTTTTTAAAAAAAACCCCCCCCCCCCCCCCCAAAAAAAAAAAAAAAAAAAAAATTCTCCGGGGGGGGGGGGGGGGGGGGGGGATTTTTTTTAAAAAAAAATTTTTTTTTTTTTTTTTTTTTTTTTTCTTTTTTTTTTTTTTTTTTTTTTAACTTCAGTCCAGGGTTCAGTTCTCGATTAGAAGATGGAAATAAGTGTTGTCTGTAGTTAAATGAAATAATTTTGACGGTTTAAAACGCTAAATATATAAGCTGACTTATTTACAATTTATTTTAACTACGGCCCGATGTTTCGGATGTCTTGCAGCAGTCGTGGTAACGTTGGGATGGTATATAAGGTAACTAATATATTCCGCGTTTTGAACCGTCAAAAGTGTTTTATTTAAACACATCAACATGATTCGCCAATTATATCCGTTTTTACGAAATCTAAAAGTCGATATAAGACTGTATCACTTACTTGACAATTGCCCCTCTTAGTATCTTACTTTACTTTTTCTCATTTGCACTATTATTTCAAAGCTGTTTTTGTGAACAAAATGTACTTGCTTTATACATGTGCTAGTTTAATATTGTTTAGAATATATTGTATTGTATAAGCTTTCCCGGATATTTTTTAGAGCTACTTAGATTCGAGCTAGTCGGTCGTCGTCCGTATTCATTCACTGTTCGTGTAACGTAATTAAGAAACGTCGAAAACCGTCTCTCGATTACGACGGTTTAACATGTCGAAACCAAAGTGAAACGGTTGATCTGTTTGTAGTCAAGAATGCCTTCTATTGAAGAATCACCAGCTTCGTAAGTCTTGTGATTTAGTGCACTCGACTGTAGACCAGGACGTGTCGGGTTCAAATCCTGGCGGAGGCGAAATACTTGTGAATTTTTAGAAACAGCCCAAGCTTGGAACTGAGTGTGATTAAACTCAATGCTTCGAAAAGCTCGCTAAGCTGTCGCTAGTAAGTGGCGATAGTTTTTTTAGCTTGTCGACCTTGTTGTTGCAATAAGCGTGGTAGGTCTGGATCAGCTGTGGGAAATAAATGTAACGATAGCATAAGCAGTTAAATTTGTTTTTGATCTTCAAGTGTTTCACGCTTTTTCACCTTAGAACATTATGAGACATCACTAATATTCACAGCTCCAGAACATCACTGGCCAGCAGCCGCCAGTCCCTTTCCTCGTTCGTGTCCCCCACCGCGGAGAGGGCCACGTCACCAGATCTCACTAAGCGGGCCTCTTTTGTCGAGGTCAGTTGTCAGTCGTGGTATTTCTTTTAATAGATTGTGGAGGACGGACTAGCTTGGAGTGCTCTTGATGGAAGGTGGAATACCCCAGCCACAGGGCTCCGTCAATAAATCAAATTATAGATAAAATTATATCCGTGCATGGATGATCAAGATTTTTATAGCTGATCGATCTTTGTTGGATTAATTCATAAATTATTCTGTGCACAGTGTTTTGATACAATATTCTTTACCCAAAACTCGAATCCAGGTCCGGGCACCTGAGATCAGGGGCAAGACATTTGTCTAAAGACTTGTGATATTGCAGACCGGGTTTGTGGAGACGTTGACGCCCCAATTCACGTTGGGGCAAAGCATTACTTCTCCTCTGCCAAGCTCGACAGCCGTAGAAGACAAGTTGGCCAATATACAGGCTCAACAAGAGGTAAGCAAGAGATGCTTCTGGTGTAGGTAGAGTTTGTCTCTTTCTTTCAAGCGAAGTAATGTGCATGACAGAGACAGATAATGTTAGCTACGTCTTTAGGTAGAGTTTAAGTGAAGGATATAGTTTTCTTATTTAAATAAATGAATTTAACGGTTTTTAAGACGAAATTTATTAGTTAAACTTGTTAGCAATTAACTTTAACAAATAGGAGTTATATAAGGTTTCAACGGACTCTTGAATAGATAAAAGAAAGTTTATAAAACAATTTGTGTATCTAGTCAATTAAATAATTAATTTAACAATTCTTGAATCATGGTAATTATATTGTTATCGTGAATTGATTATTCCTTTAAAGACTTTGAACATTTTATGAGCCCTAGTGTGGCTACAGGGGCTCCCAATTATCGTTAGCTCAATTGGTAGAGCAACAGCTCGAAACATAGACGTCCCTAAGTTCTGTCGCGGACTTTTTTTTAGATAATTTAAAGAGAAATAAATCTTTCATACATATATTTTGGATATCGTGAACCGTTTTCGCAGCGTACGCAATGAAACCCCACATCGATGCATAATTTTCGCTGTTTTTTCGCCCCTATTTTCAATTTTTCAATTCGAAGCAGTAGTTCCTGAGATTAGCACGTTCAACAAACAAACAAACTTTTCAGCTTTATATATTATGCATAGATTTACTTTAGTAAGCCTCTTTGAAATAAATATACCCTATATACGTTCGTGCGTGTTGAATGTTGTAGTGTAATAACCACACTTATGATAACTGTAATAAGTGCTAGAGTTCAAGATATATGCTTGCAGATAACAAACCTCAAAAGTGAGGTGGAAGACCTAAAGGAGAAGTTGGAGACGCTCAGGATCCGTCGCGCCGAGGATCGGGAGAAGCTGCGAGAGCTGGAGAAGGTCCGCCTCCAGCTGGAGCAGGCCAACGAGTTCAAAGCGAAGATTATGGAGTCGCAGGCGCAGCTGCAGAGGGATCTGCAGAGAGCCAAGCAAGAGGTAATGAGGGGAAGGGGGGTAGGCTGCCCATGCAACAGATGCAACGGAAGACAGGCAAACATGGGTTTCTCTTGGTTGAAGGCGAAGCACCCCAGGCATATAGCATATTAACAAGATGTCAAAATCAAATCAAAGTCAAAAATATTTATTATGTAGGTAACTATTACCTTATGAACGTCACGAAATAATTATAGAATCTAACTTTACATTTACTACATCTCAAATCAAGCGAAACGAACAGAAGAATGATAAACTCGCCGATTTACTTTTATACAGAACATATTTTTCCTTTAAAGCGGGTTCCTCCAACCCCAAATTTTTATCATTTAAATATTATTAACAGATAATAACCGTTTCAACAGTTTTTGTTTTACATACGATTTAAACCTATTTATTGAGAGTGCTTGCACTTCGCTGGGGATTTTATTAAAGTATCGTATGCAGTTACCTTGAAAAAACTACTACTTTTATGGGCCTTTTGTTGGTACACTTATTTTGTCCTTATTACGCGTATTGTGCTGATGAAAGCTGCCGTTTGTTTTAAAAGTATCTACGTTTTTCCTCATGCGTTCTATTTTAGCTTTACATGTTCGAAGATCCACAAACAACACTAAAACGTAATTGCATCTTTTTTTTATAATGACGAAGGAAAACAAGACAACAGGGGTGTATAAGATATTAGCAAGATGCGATGTCGGCCTATTTAGCTTTGCCTATTCATTATTTCACAGACTGAAACTGAAATGTGATAAAATTTCGGCTTTTATCTTGACTCCCGAGTTCGTTAGAAACTACTTATTTAGAAACCCGGTGGGGATTATTAGCTAACACTATCACCATTATGCCACCGAGTCCATCAAATATTGTCCTTGGACATTCGTAAATCCACAGACTTGAACCGGTTAAAATATTTTCGCATTTAATTCACAGGTTCGTGAAGCCCAAGAGGCGCTGGAAGTTCACAACGACGAGACAGCGGAGCTGCAGGAAGCTGCTGAGATGGCTGCTCTGGATAAGGAAATGGCGGAGGAAAGGGCTGAGGCGTTACAACTGGAACTGGAACAGTGCAGGGAGAAGCTGGAGGAAGCGACCCTGGACCTGCAGCTCATGAGAGCCGAGATGGAGGCAGGTGGAAATATACGTGAGTGTCTAAGTTTTCTTGGGGGAATGAGGGTAGAATACAAAAATGCTTTTGTGTGGAGTGAGGGTAATTTATGAATCTAATTCATATAGCTAGGTAAACGAAATTTAAAACTTGTTATATGAATAATAAAAGAAGTATGTAATGTAAGGCTCCTAGAGGCAGAGTGGCCTAATAACAAAAAACATGATTTTCAATAGGGTGGAAAATAAATTTTTCCCCCCTTTTTTTTTTTTTTTTTTTAAATTGCGCAATTAACTTAGGCGAAATGAATTTGTACTATTATTCGTGCAAGAATGATGTTAACAATTTTCGGTCACTGTACTCTTGTGGATTAACATTTTTAGACTATAAATAATATATAGTCAAGTCATAAAATTGAAGTTAGTTACTCTGCGTCTAGCAGCCTCATATATAAATGTTTAGCAATGACGGTAGTTGCAAATAAAACTATTTCAATAGTGTAGGTAACATTTTTGCCATATAAGTAAGACAGAAACTAATTCAAAACTGAATTATCTTTATCTCTAGTTTGTTGCGGTTTGTATTTATTTAAATAAAACACTTAAACGGTTTAAAACGCGACATATATTAGCTAAACTTACTTCAAAATTATTTTAACTACGGCCCGGCGTTTCGGATGCTTTGCAGCATCCATGGTGACGGGGAGACGGCGTCTAGCTCATATATATCACGATTTAAACCGTTTTAAGTTTTTTTTATTTAAAGTGTACTACTCGCGTAAACTACAGACAGTATTAATAATTACTTTTCAATCTTAAATTGTCTGAAGTAGAAATAAAAGTAGTCTTTGGGATATTTAAATAATAAATTTCAAAAATTATTGAACTTTTTGGCAGCTAATATGGCGCAGGGTTTTTCAAATCGTAAGTTGAAAAGGCATTTTAGGTAGGTGACTGTAGATAGGTGCATTTACCCATACCCACCATTTTAGGGGGGGAATGTCAAATGGTCTTGAAATGTTAAGATGTAATTTTGTCGAAGTTAGTGTTCAATCATTTACTTCTTAAGTGTTAATGAGACATTAATAAAAAGCTAAACACGATACTTTTAGATTGTTCGTGAATTCCACAAAAAAAAACTATTATCAAAAAAGTCGACAACCTATCTTCCTGGAAGCTCATGCTTATCATAAAAAGCTGATTTTGTATGTTAGGTTGCAGTATAATATAAATCAATGTGTGATCATGATTTCTTCTAAAGTATCGTGTTTGCGACCGTCTGTGTAGCATGAACGTATTTTTAAACAGTATAAACTCTTTAACGAAAGTCAAGGAACAAAGTATTTTTATCGTTACAGAGTTGTCGTTATATGGAGGGAATTTTTATATGGAGTTAAAATCAAGTGTAGTGTATTTTTTCTTACTTGGCACTTTTGGTCAACAAACACTTAATTTATATGAAATCGTGATTGTTTCACAAAGCTAACATTTATTTACACTAAAAACACTTTATAAGATTAAAGTCACTTAGTAAAAATTATGCTAAAATTAATACATTTTCTATAAATTAATTTAAATAAATAGATATTATATTCCTTTAGTTTGATGTGTACATAAAGATGAAATGTATGCAAAGTGAACGACAATAGAAGGTCCCTGCTGTTCTTGCATGATCGCAACAAAAGGCGTTCATAAAAGTGATTTTCAATATTGACCCATATATTGTAATCGATGTTTCTTTATCCCTCTGTCACCTGTGCCAACAACTTCACTCAATCAAAGGTAGTTCTATATGTTTGAATAAAACACTTTAACGGTTTAAAACGCGATATACACGCGGTTTGCAGCGCCGTGGTCACGACTGCTGCAAAGCATCTGAAACGTCAGGCAGTTAAAAATCATTTTCAAATAAGTTTGACTAATATATGGCGTTTTAAACCGTTAAGTGATTTTATTTAAATGTGTACTACTCGCGTAAACTATAGACGGTATTTAGTTCTCTATGGTTTGAAATCGGCCATATTTGTTATGGTCTTTTGCCAAGTTAGAAAAAATACAATCAGAAACTAAGAAAGACGCGATATTTTCTTTTTTACACATTTTGCTGTTATAGAGTGAATTTAGAATGTTTGTCGTTATGAAGAAATTTCGTATGTTCGTTTAAGATTAGCCAACAGAATCGCGATGTATTTGTTTGTCGATATAGGGTTTAAGCTGAAAGTAAGGAATTCGTGATCGATTTCTATGTTATAGAGACTTTATCGTTATAAAGAGTTTACACTACATGTTGCTTATTTATTTATTTATTGAATATTTATTTTATAGACTCGTTCGCACAACTAAAGAGTGTACGTACAGTGTGTCATGTGATCTAGTAAATTTGAATTGAGCAGTTATCTTAATACATATATATATATATATATATATATATATATATATATATCATATATATCGTCAAACATACCTTATACAAATGGATATTGTTTGTGTGTAAAGCCAAAATAGGTCTATCACATCTTAGTGGGGCGTTACACCAAGGGCTTATCTGTCCTGTTGTATATACATATAATAAGACTAGATCTCAAACAATATCTATGTACAGTTTGAATTAACATACATTTTATGTTGCATGTTGTTTTTTGTGTGCTTGCGTTAACCGGCTCTCTTGACCCGACCAACTTTGACACAACTAAAAATGATGCTGAACGACAAATGTTGACCCAACGAGGCCTTTTGTAGTGGGGGGGGGGGGAGTGCTGTGCTGTACCTAAACATTTCTTATGTCTAAAGACACGACACAATTTAAACGAACCAGTGTCGAACTCGGGACTTTTTAAATCTATAATAAATCTATTCGGATTGTAAACGAAATAACGACGCGGGCGGGACTTGAACCGACATCAACAGCGTTTCGTGCTGTTGACCTAACAATTTGATCTACCGTGTCGTATGACCTTGACTTAGACGCGCTGACATCTACCTGACCGACTAAAGACCAATCTAAGAGAGCCAGCATGCGTCCTCGTCCATATAAAGAGTGCCTCACGTCCGCTGACCAGAGCACCCGTACGCAGCGGGAGAGGGCGCCACCGGCTACGAGGTTCGTCAGCTGCAGCAGCAGAACGTCCGCCTGCGCGACACACTCGTGCGGCTGAGGGACCTCTCCGCCCACGACAAGCACGCCATGCAGAAGATGGCTAAGGTCTCCCCATTTTAATACTCATAGTCTAACTTCAGCCACTGGAACGATCAGTATGTGTGATAGTTTTTGAGTTTTTCTATATAAAAAAATAACTGTTTTAAACGCAAGACACATTTGATTGTATTTAAAATTTAAACCCGGCTAACTGGTAGTGTGTTACCTGGTACTATCGTAGAATCCCGGTCTAAGATCAGCGCAATAGATAAACTAGCTGTGTTAGCGACTTCGTCCATGTAGATGTTGAAAAGGGGATAGTAATTAAAACATCAATCGTGACACATATTCGACAATAATAAAGAATATTTCAAACTACGACCCGACGTTTTGGATGCGTCACGAGGGGGCGTCCCTAATGTCGAAGGCAAATCTACTAATCTACGCTAACGCCATCTGTTTTGTCGTAGATGGTATTAAAATATTTAAGAATAGAACGTTTTACGATTTTAAACATGTTCAAAAACGTATTAGATCGGAACGCGAGCGCCATCTATTTTGTCGTATTTGATATTGCTATATTCTTTATAAAACATTTAACGATTTAAAACGTCAAACATATTCGATAACATGTTTTAAATTACGACCCGACGTTTTGAGTGCGACACAAGGGGAGCGGCATTAGGACCTAACACATACTACATCTAAACAGTAGGAAACGTAGATAGTTTCACAAAACGGCGGCGGAAATCTTGGACAGTTAACAAGTTTCTTTGTTACCTTATTAAATTATGATTTGTAGGACTTGGAACAGAACAAATCAGAGATAGCGGAGCTCAGCAGAACGAAGGAGAAGCTCTCAGCCAGGGTCGAAGAGCTGGAAGCGCAAGTGGCCGACCTTCGCGAGCAGGTGGACGCGGCGCTCGGTGCTGAGGAAATGGTAGAACAGCTGGCCGAGAAGAAGATGGCTCTGGAAGACCAGGTCAGTGGTGTTTGGGACAGGTCTGGAAAGTTACTAAATGATACAATTCTGGCGTCGTGTGGTCCAGAGGTTAAGAGGAGTTTGCAAAACTGAGCGAAATGAGTACTTGAGATAAATTGTTTAATCGAAAGATAAAAGTTAGTTTAAAATAGGGAATAAACTTAACATTTTTCACATGCTAAGACTGATGTAGCACATGATGGTACTATGTCAACTAAAAAAAATACGACATGGTACAGTTTTTCAATTTTTATTCACACGGCATTTAACCTTAATACGCAAGTGTTAAGGTCGAAATTACATTGCGCGAGAGGTGCATGTGTCAATAGGTTGAAAAATTCGACGATGAGGTGTAGGACTCGGTAGCTCAATTGGTAGAGCAACAGCACGGAAAGCTGACGATGCCGGTTCAAGTCGTGTCCGTGGCGTAATGTTTTTTTTTTTTTTCAATTTACATTCGGTTCTTTATCGAATCGTTCTATATGTTTTTTTACGCGCAATTGTAAACGTGTTATATTAATCACAGGTGGAGCAATTGAAGCAAGATGTCCAAGAACTGGAGGCGCTGCAGGAAATACATGAACAGCTGGTCGAATCCAATCGGGAGCTGGAGATGGACCTTCGCGAAGAGTTGGAGATGGCGCACGCGGCCACCAGAGAAGTTAGTTCTACTTTATTTAACTCAGAGTTTTGAAGTACCAGACGTTACACAAATCTGATGAAAATCTAACCTATAGAGTATCTATAAGTTCGATTATCCATTATATCAGTCATTATCTATAAAGAACATATATTATAAATATAAAGAGTTTGTCTGTCTATAGTTTACGCGAGTCCGCGACATTTGTCTATCTTTTAAGATTAACTCGCAAGAGCGACGGGACGCGGACGACGTCGTGGCTAACAGCTTAAGTTTATAAAAATTGAGGAGCTTTGCAAGAAACAATTTTTTGCCCAAAACTCTACATGGACGGTGACGCTTACACAGCTAGCTTATCTATTATTTCTATTGCAGGCAGCGAGGGAGAGAGAAGCTGCGCTAGAGACGATCTTAGACCGGGATTCTACGATAGTTAAGTTCCGCGAGCTGGTTCAGCGCATGACGGAACAGTACAATGAGATGAGGAACCAGCTGGACTCCAAGATAGGTAATAATCAACGGGTCATGGCTCCCTACCGGGTTTAATATGTCTCCAAACAATTTAAAAAATTTGAAACATGTTAGACTTTGCCGAGATCTATGAGGCTATAAAATGGATATTCCTACCACCGCCCTCAGATGAAAAAGTTTCGCTTTGAGTCTGTGGATTTCCGAATATTCAAAGACAAAATAGATAGACATCACATCTTGTTTAGATGTTATATGTATATTATATGCTGTAGTTTACACATTTAAATAAAACACTTTCATGGTTTAAAACGTGAAATATATTAAATAGACTTATTTTAAAATTATTTTTATATACGGCCAACGTTTTGGATACTTCGCAGCAGCCGTCGTTGCGGGGAGTCTCCCCATTTTAAACCGTTATAAAAGAAAAAATCAAAAGTTTCAATGTTTCAGGATCACCAGCCCCTTCAGAGCAGGAGTCGACGCCGGAACCGGTGTCCAGGTCTTCGCCGCCCACGGAGCTGGGCTCCCTGGTGCAACAGTCCCGAGCCTCCACTCGCTCTATCGACCTGCAACTGCGGTCTTTAGAACTCAGTCAAGCGAGGACCCGCGCGACCATGCTGGCTGCTTGTCTTCCGGACCACTTCATGAGTAGTGGTGGTAAGTGACCACTCGTCTTGTCTTCTGTGTTTGTAGAGTTAGAGCGATAGCACGGAACGCCGTGGACGCCAGTTCAGTACCCGCCCGTGACGTATTTCTTTTATTAATGTGCTAATCTATTCAATTCCTATGTCAATGTTCCAGGCGACCACGACGCCATCTTGTTCATTCTCTTACTCCAGCGGTTGAATGCGAAGGCGGAAATCATTCTAGGTCAGATAAGAGAGAGGTAAGTCCGTATATATTTACTAGCTGATCCGGCGAACGTTGTTTTGTTCTTTGCAAGATTAATATTTATTATGAGGCCGCTAGAGACAGAGTGGCCTAACTGCAATTTTACGGCTTGACTAATTTATTTATTTATATATAGTGACCAAAAATCGTTAACACAATTCTTACACAAATAATTGTACTAATTCATTTTCGCTTTTTCCTCCTTATGGAGAATCATGTTTTTTTAATAGGCCACTCTGCCTCAAGCGGCCTCATATCATTTAAGTATTTAATTAAATAAAACAATTACCAATTTTAAACGGTGTTATTAGCTAATTTTTATTATATTTCAAGTACGACGCAACGGTTCGGCTTCTTTGAAACTGTGGTCACGGGTCGAAATTAATTTCCCTCATATATTTGACGTTTTGAACAGTTAGAAGTGTTTTTATTCAAATGTGTAATACTCACGTAATAAATTACAGATAATACATAAAGGTTTCAGAAGACAGGGGATAGAATAATAGATAGATAGTGTGATCAACGAATTCTTATAACGCCTATAAATAAAATTTGTGGAGGAAACAAAGAAATTTTTTTCTCCCTAAGGGATCCATAAGGGATTTTTATATACAAATTCACAATTAAAAAAGTAGTAGTCCCCCCCCCCCATTCCTCTTGGATTATATTTGTAGGTGAATTGTATATTCATCATTGTTCTTTGGCACCCGTCAGATTCCCAGCGGTGAACGTGTGGGACCGAGAGGCGATCACGAAGACCCACACGGCGGTGCAGTACAGCTTCAGGTGCCAACTGGAGTATCAATTGATGATGATTCAGGTGCAATGATGATGATGTAAACTCTTTTAGACGTAGACTCGTTTATACATTTCAGTTTTATCAAATAGCTGGACTCGTAGACCCAATTTCACTCTTATCTGTGGACGGTGGTTGGTGATTCGGACGCTATTTCGATATAAAATACCGTCTGTACTTCAGTTTTAGTAGTGTACAGTATGTTATGTATGCGAGTTACGTTTTAAACCGTTAAAGTGTTTTATTAAAAGGTATTTCGATATTCCTGCCAGCCATCTAATATAGTCAAACCCGACCTATTGATTTGTAACCTTACATAGGCAACAGGTCATTTGAGAGGGAGGGACGCCGCCCAAAATGTTCCCTAAATACCATTATACCAACATGATTCAGACAAAAAAACGAGGGACGTCTCACTACCCTAATCTTAAGCATATGTATAGCTAACGCCCCCGTTGTGCCCATTAGCCACGCCCCGTTAATTTTAGTTTGTATTGTTCTTAACGTAGTAATCTTAGGGACTGTCAAAAAGTTTCCCAAATACAATACTATTTGAGTTTGGTTATCCTGTGTTCCAGTGTATGGTGTGCATGTGGAGCAGTGCGCTGGAGCTGTGCACTCCAGAGGTGCTGCTGAAGGCGGCTTCAGCGTTGCCTGATGCGACTGCGCAGGAGCGGGCCCTAGATGGCGCTGCGCAATTGCTGAAGAGCAACGAACTAGACGAGAACTGCGCGCTCGACGGTGAGCACAGTTTTTATACAATTTTGACCCCTTTAGGATTCTAATACACAATGGCCTTAGGTATGTTCCGAATAAAAATCACAATTTAAACCGACTATATTCAAATCACAAAATATAAAGCACTGTCTGTAGTTTACGCGTGTAGTTAACATTTAAATAAAACACTTTAACGATATAAAACACGATATATATTAGTTGAATTTATTTAAACAATAGTTTTAATTACGGCCCGACGTTTCGAACGCTTTGCAGCAGCCGTGGTCACGGAGAGACTTATAGATTATTTATTATAGTTAATTTTCAAATAAAATTACCTATATATCGCGTTTTAAACCGTTACAGTTTTTTATTTGAACACAAAATACAACTTAAAAGAATTACTATCAAATACCAATTATACCATTGGACGACCAACCAATTCGAAAGAAAAATCGAAAAGTAACTGATAATTAATATCGGACAATAGTGTCGGCCACACATACTCATAGCAATAATCTGCAGCAGCATTTAAGATGGCAATGTATGCCCCTGCCTCCCCCCTGCCTCCCCCTGCCTCCCCCTGCCCCCCCTGCCTCCCCCTGCCTCCCCCCTGCCTCCCCCCTGCCTCCCCCCCCTGCCTTTTATGGTGACTACAATGGTGAAAAATACAAATTCTTACGAAACGCGTATTTTGCTTAATGACAGTTTACGCGAATAGTGTACATTGAAATAAAACACTTTAAACGGTTTTAAATCCCTTGCATATCATCCGAAACTTAAAACTTAATATCTTCCATTTAAACAGTTAAGTGTTTTAAATAATCGCTTCTATCATGCTTGATCAGTTTTTTGTAATATTCTTAATAACTCTAGGTATCGAGAGATGCTGGACGTACCTATCGGCGATGTGGGGGGCGCTGAGCATGTCCCGAGTAGAGGGGGCTGGATGTACAAGGGAGGCTGTTCTGCACGCGTGCGGGGCACTCGACGCGCTCGCGAGGGCGCTGCACGCCGACGCGAGTGCGCTTACGCAGATACTGCAGGTATACAAATATTTTATCTCTACCTTTTGTACTTATGTATTACTGGTTATTTTCGTGTTAGATTCATGTATTCATAAATAAATTAAATTACGCTTAAATACTGTCTATAGTTTACGCGAGTAGTACACATTTAAATAAAACACTTTAACGGTTCAAAACGCGATATATTAGTTAAACTTATTTGGAAATGATTTTTAACTTCGGCCCGACGTTTCGGATGCTTTGCAGCTTTGTCTCCCCGTGACCTCGGCTGCTGCAAAGCATCCGAAACGTCGGGCCGAAGTTAAAAATCATTTCCAAATAAGTTTAACTAATATATCGCGTTAAACCGTTAAAGTGTTTTATTTATATATTATCCTTTATTTAATATTTGACTCGTTGTCGGCCTAATGGTAGCAAAGTATCTGTAATGTAAAACAGTTTGAAAAGTAAAGTTATATTAAGTTAAAGTTTAAGAGGGAGTCGAGATAAATAAACCCACTGAGTGCTGTTTTGAAATCCCGTTTCCCCCTTCTGGGGCGTGGGGCGAACACATTTCTTCGTCCGTTTCACTGATCACTTCTTTTTAACAGGCGAGTAGTTAATCAGACTTCTGTGCCCTACCCGACCGGAACAACTTGAGATTCGAACTCAGGACCTCTCGCGCATAAAATGCTAGGCAATACGTTTAACCATTTGGCTACGGAGGCGGTCAGACAGCTGCAGCTTGCTACTGATTTATTTCATATAAATTTAATTTTGAGATAATTTACAAGAAAGGTCTAATAAACACTTACATATGCTACCTATGGTATATAATATTATAATGAATACGCAATAAAATTGTTTGTCTGTACAGCATCTTTGATTATTCTCGACCGTGTTGGACTTCGTACGTTGGTAGGAATGAAATCTATACCTTTTGGATTTCAGACTGGGATTTCCGAATATCCAAAGCCTTTGGAGATCTCGGCAACCACCATTTTGTTCTAGATGTTCTATGTCTCAATTATTTCACCTGAAGTGAAAACCATTCTTATCTGTCCTGCTTAATCATGCATTTTTTAGTTTGGTGTATGTATATACATTAATTTTCTTATTCGTACTTTAGGCAGCAGACCGGCAGCTAGAGCTGGGCCTGCTGCACGAAGCTATCCAGTCGAGCTGTTCGTCCCTGCAGCAGCAACTGAAAGCCGTCCGCCGACGGTTACCAGCTGGTGTCAACCTTCACAATCTGCCTTTGGATCTGCAGGTACTCGTAACATCGAAATATTAAAATAATGTAAAGGTACCACAATTTTTAAATAAAAATTTTAACGGTTTACAACGCAAAATATATTAGTTAACAATGTTTCAAAATATATTAGTTAACAATGATGCTTTACCGAGCGGGTTGGTAATATTTTAAAAGAAAGTTTGTCTAATATATTTCGCGTTTAAAACCGTTAAAATGTTTTATTTAAATATTTACTATTCGCGTTAACTATCCACAGTATTTACTATAATAATTTTATTTCCAGCTGGTAGAACGTCTTCGTGGCGATAGTGCCGTGGCGCTTTGGAAGTGTGCGCGCGCGACTTCGTTGGCAGCGAGGGCTGCGTGCGCTTGCGCATCCACAGCTGGGGAGAGGGGTGACGGCGCGCCTCTCGCCCACCAGGCCCTCAACGCCATCTGGACGGCTGCTACCGACAAAATTTATCAACAGGTACATTTATTTGCGTATAAAAGATGATAAGGGTAAATATTGTTGTCTTATTAAACTTAATGTTTTGAAAATTGTCTAAAATACTCTCTGGTCTCATGGTAGCATTGTATGGCCTATAATCAATGGTTCCTTTGACACTACTCTGTCAGTGGTGTCACTTCCATGGTAATGCGGTTTCCTCTGGCATTTTTAACTTCAAAAGTATAGGAATATCGTATGTCTTCTTTTATAGCAAATACAACAATTATAAATATTGAATGATCTAGATCACATTTTCTCTATGAGACACAAAATATCAAATATATTATATAAACATTCATATTACAAAATATATAATTATAGGACGATCACGGCCCGGTGAAGACGATCAAGCACGCGTTGTCTGTCGTGTCGAATGACGTCGGCAAGTTGGCTGCCTTCACGCAAGACAAGGAGTATGACGTCATGTCGCTCACCAACGTGGCGCAGGACAAGGTGAGCGCGATCGGGACGGACGATTTTCTGTGGCTGTTTAAAAAAATTGTGACTAGTTGTCAGCTTATTTTGAAGCTATATGAATATGAAGGTTCCGTAGTTAATTATAACGAGAGATTTGACGATTTCGTTGATGTTGTGGCCGGGTTCAGGTCACGAACCACCGTCCACAAATCAAAAAGCCGTCTGGATATCCGAATATCCAAAGCCAAAATAAGTCGACAGCGCTTCTTGTGAGATGTTGTATGGTATTTCAACTACCATCAAGTGATCATAAAAAAAAGAGTTTAGCTCCTTAGGCTGTCGTGGGCAAATTTTAATGTAAGCTTTAATGTAAATAAAACACTTTAAGGTTTAAAACGCGATGTATTAGTTAAACTATTTATTTCCCCGCGACCACGGCTGCTGCAAAGCATCAGAAACGTCGGGCCGAAGTCAGAAGTCATTTAAAAATAAGTTTAATATATCGCGTTTTAAACCGTTAAAGTGTTTTATTTAAATGTGTACTACTCACGTAAACTATTGACAGATTTAATTTAACCACGATAGCCTCATACACACTTGCTACAATACAATTACATACATACTTATAAGCAACTTGTTTTAAAATTTGTATTTTTTTTTAAATCAAATTAAATTCGTAATTTTAGACATCTTTGAGTGTTTTTTAAATGCGATATTGTGTGTAATAAGAATGTTTAATATGTTCGTATGCGTATTTTTACAGCCAACGCCACCTATCGTGCTCCGCGCGCAACACGTCAAGAAACAACTAGAAGAAACGAAGACGCTGACAATTCGTCTAGAGAACAAGGAAGCGGATATCAAAGAACTGAGGAAAATGCTCAAGGTCAGTCTGTTATTAATTAATAATAGTTATGCCCTTTACACACAAGAAAAACGAATTTTAAATCTACTTAGAATGTAAGGCATTTCGGTTACTTACATTTTTCTATGTGAAAAGAGTTATACATAATGCCATCTTGCGACGTTAGAAATGGACCGCTAAAGACAGAGAGGCCTAACTGCAATTTTTATGGCTTGACTTTATATTTTCAGTCTAAAAATGTTAATCTACAAGAGCACATTGACCGAAAATATAAACATAATTCTTACACAAATAATAGTGCAAACTCATTTTGCCCTAAGTTTATTGCACATTTTATTTTCTTTCTTATTGAAAATCATGTTTTTTTTTATTGTTAGGCCACTCTGCCTCCTCAACCTCATATATAAATATAACATTAGCTATTAACAAGAGCGATGTTTCTGTCGTAAATAGGCCTGAAATAACTTAAAGCTTTTCCCGTAGTGTTTGAGTTAATATATAAAAATATGCTTAAATTATAAAAACAGGCATACTATTTCAATTCTAAATTCAAATATATTTATTTTGGTCTATTCCGTTATTTCAGACGAAGCAAGAGGAGTTGTCAGAGATGCAGATACGCCGTGAGCTGGGCGAGAGGAAGCTGAGGGCGGTGGCTGATGATGCAGAGCTCAAGGCCCAGGAAATGCAGAGGAAACTCGAGGATGTCACCAACCAGCTCAAGAGGTTAGTTGGACAAAATCAATATTAAAGTTATCCTAGTTCTTTTTTTATGATAGAGGGGGAAAAGATAAGCATGGGAAAATACCCCAAAAAAGGTCATCAGCATATTTAAACAAGAAGTTTTTTGATAGTATGGTTGACCGGGTTTAATTTCCGTCGGGCCCAAGTTGTTTCTATATTTTTTTCATAAAAGATATTGAAAAATCTAGATATTAATTAGGTGGTAAAAATATCACACCGAACCACCGTCCATGGATATACCGCGTAAGGCATTTACAAAAGCAAAGTCAACGACAATAGAAGGTAGAAGTCCCACTCATGCATGATCGTTGAAAAATAATGACACGAGAAATTAAAAAAAGCGACATAATAGTGTTTTTAAATGTTGAGGTCGTCTTCGTGCATATATATTCTATGTTTCTTTATAATGTTTGTCCATTTGTGGTAACAGATTCGCGCTATAAAAGATCATCACTATTTCTCTATGGTTTGAAATCGGCCATATTTGTTGTGGTCTTTTGCCGAGTTATAAAAAATGCACTTCACGTGGGATAATTAATATTTCTGTTTAGGAAGGAGAAAGAATTCGAAGAGACCATGGACCACCTTCAGCAGGACATCGACTCGTTGGAGAGCGAACGGGGCGCGCTGCGGGACAAACTCAAGATGTACGCAAAGGGACGCACGGGTACTCACCACGGTGAGTATTTTTTTTTAGATAAAGAAGGACAGAGAAGCGTGTGGTTCATTTGATGGTAGATGAAAAAGCCCAGCCTGTAACATCTAAACAAAATGCGCTGTCGGCCTATTTTGGCTTTGGATATTTGGAAATCCGCAGACTGAAACCGAATGATTTCTACTATTTACCTTGATTTAATGTTATACCGTTTTTGACATTGAGAACGAACAGACCTCACAAAGGTTCTCAAATTATATTGTGTAGCGTTAAATTGGTTTCACGTGCGCCTGCGCATTTAATTAATATTGAGTTACAATGCAGCAGTGGCGCCGCCCGTGCCGAGCTTGCGCGACTTCTCACGTAAGATTATGTTGAATGTTGTTCTAACGCATGCATGCAACTACGAGGGCAAAATGGACTGTCAAATTTCGCAATATAAAACAACTTTAACGGTTTAAAACTGATTATTAACTGCTACGAGTTGTTAAATATATTAATGTGTATGTCAACATTAATAAAACGCGATTAAACTTCACGGTATTTTGATATTCCTAGTTCCTACCAACATTTAATACTCAAGAGTTCAACATGTACGGAAAAATATGGTCGATGAAAAATGTGTTGATGACATGGACCCGGTGGGGATCGCACCCGCTACCCATTGATTATTAGCCGTATATTGGGTACCAGCCCGTCAAACAGGATCTCCGACGTTTCAGTGGGTCAGGGCACAGAAGTTAAATCGGCTTTTTTGTAGGGGAGTTGTGGTTTCATACATTTTTGAATGGAATAATACTGGTATTTAAATAAAACACTTTAACGGTTTAAAACGCGATATATTAGTTAAACTTATTTGAAAATGATTTTTAACTTCGGCCCGTCGTTTCGGATGCTTTGCAGCAGCTGTGGTCACGATACGTGGTTCAAATAAGTTTAACTAATATGTTGCGTTTTAAACCGTTAAAGTGTTTTATTTAAATGTGTACTACTCGCGTAAACTATAGACAGATAATATAATACTGGTATGTGTTCAAGAACAATGTTGTCTTATGTAATTCACAGTTTGACAGTTCCTCGCCCTCGTGCATCCTAAAAATATAACACATCACCATAATAATTCGTGTTATCACTAATTCTGTTATACAAAGCTACCTGTCTTGCTCGTACTCGGTTATTTCGCATATGTGCGAGTGAGACAACTCTACGAATCACGAGAACTTATTTGAAAAAGTAAATAAATGTTAGTTAGTTAGTTTCCAAAGAGATACACGAGCCCAAGGGAAATTCGACTGTGAGATTTTTTTTAGATTGTCATAGAGTACTTGTTGGCTAGATTTTATCTTTTTATGTAGGAACAAAAAAAAAACTAACGTTACGACGTTACGTTACGTTACATACCCAACGGTTTTATTATGAAATACTAAATTAGTGGGGGAAAGGGATAGTTTTAATTTTTTTACCCTATGGTGGTGAATTTACAAAAATTTTTTAAAGCACTCTAACGGTTTAAAACGCGATATATAATGCTGCAAAGCATCCGAATTGTCGGGTTATAGTTAATAACAATTTGAAAACAGGTTTAACTAATGTATTTCCCGTTTTAAACGGTTAAAGTAAATTTAAATTTAAAATTAAATGTCGTTTTCTTAGTTACTATATTGGCTGTCTATAAATAAAAAATCTTAACTTAACTACGGCCCACATAAGTTTTACTTCGTTTTATTTGAATTTTAATAGTCTGCAGTAGCTTAAAAGAAAATATGCAAGCAATCATGGGTCTTAACAATTTCAAGCAACAATTAATTTTATAGTTTTTCCAGAAGCTTTTCACGTGTAATAGAACAAAATACTTTGAGAATCTTCAGTTCTTTCAAGAGATGAACTAAGTTAGACGTGTTTGTATAACAGAATTAAACATCGTCATTATATTATTAAATTTATAATTAATATTTAATATTAATTAATTGTAATAATATTTTTTTTATTCTCGAAAATATGTATACATTAACGTTGGATAAAAAGATATTTCCAATCCAATATTGGCAAATTTATAAAAAAAAACTTATATGTCGTCTGTGGTTTACACTTTAACGGTTTATAACGCGAAATATGCTGCTCAAATGCATCCGAAAGGTCGGGCTGTAGTTAAAAACACTTTGTAGATAAGGCACTAATATATTTATTTATTCTTCATTGCATAAAACATAATAATGATACAGAGTAAAAACTTATACACTAGAATCGAGTGCAATGGGCGAATGGAATATTTCGCGTTTGAAACGGTTAAACCATATTATCTAAACTTAAATGACTTCTTCCATAGTATATTGGCAGTTTAAAAACTTTAATATATATCACATTCTTTAGGTTACAAAAAATACGATCACTGGTAAGAGACGGTAGCTCAATTGGTTAAAAGCATACCGGTTCAAGTCGCGCCCGTGTCGTAATTTTTTTTTTCAATCGAAATAGATTTTTAATTTATATTATTTATTGTATTGCAATCTTCTTCTTATCGTTTGAATATTAGTAATAATTATTTTAGTATATGTCAAACGCATACAGCGACTGTCTTGTATATATATTTCTTGAGAATACATAAAACTAATAATACTATGTATTCTAATCCATCAATAAAAATTTCGATCGCGGTATGCACATATCAATGGGTTGAAAAAATTCGACGATTTCTCGTAGGAGAGGGTAGTTCGATTGAGCAGCAGTTAGAACAGCAGCTCGGAATGCTGCGGATGGCGGTTCAAGTCCCGCACGTGTCGTCAAATTTTTTTAAGCTGATTTTTTATTTTATTTTATTACTGACAATCAAGAGAAGTTACAGATGTTCTCTGTTAAAACACAATTGTCTGACTGTATTACTGTTCACTTTTGTCTATTGTTGTTACATATTTTTCTCTTTACATAGCGGTGGCAACACCAACGCCTCCAATCAAGGAGACACCACGTAAGATCGAAAATCTGTATGCATGGAAACGTTATTTTCCTCGACCTTTTGTTGCGATGCTTAACCAAATGTGATAGCATATTATTTTAATTCGATTGGAATATGGAGTTTGTACATAATTTTATGTGTTTAATGGATGTGAAATGCAGTCGTCTGATTGTTTAAATAAGTAAAATTTGCACATTGAAATGTTAAGTTTATTTAAAAGAATATTGATATGCACGCCATCTAGCGGAAAATGGTGAATCCCAATGTTTTAATCTCGAATAGAGATACCATTGTCATATTTGAAAACTTCGATATTTTTGCACAAGATGGCATTGTATAAATTAAAAATCGTTTATAAAGAACGCCACGGAGCGTCGTGGGTGCCGGTTCATGTCCTGATCATGTCGTGAATTTTTTTTCTATTAAAAAGCGTTTTTGATTTATACTTAATCTCAGTGTGCATTAGATATAGATTACTTGCTAATGGTGAAATTTACTTCTAACGAACAATCCAACAAGACCACTGTTTTTTTTATTACATTGTATTAGACGTTTAATAGTTTTGTCCTTCTTCTCAAGATAAGTAAGACTATCGACTGCACGCAGAAACGCCTGCAACAGAGAAAGGGCGTGTGGCAAGCCCAATTGAATTATTATGCCTTTTGCTTGTATATTTACTCCATATTAAATACTTTAGAAGCGTCTGCGTCGATTTTAAATGTTAGACGTGTTGCAGTTTCTTGACATTTTTATTACGATTGCATTTTTCGTAAGGTATTTTTACAGCAAGTAACATTTCATATTCCGTATAGAACTGGTAAATAATATTTAAAAAAATGGATAAATCACTAATATGGCTCTCGACTTCCACCTCCTCAGCAAATAACCCATGAGTCATTTTTTATTACTTAGAAAATAGTAACATGCATGAACAGGGCGCAAAATGTTACGCTTTATGTTTTAAATAACTTATTTACGAAAATGGCATTTATTTCTGCTTCTTATATGTCTATTGTATTACGTCCGTTCTCATACTAACAGTATCGCTTTTTTGTAGAGGAAACGCCAGTGAAGGTAACATCGGGTGTCGCAGCCGGCGAAGTGAACGAGGCTCTACAGCATCAGCTCAAAGTCCTCAGTTGGTAAGGGTTCTCGTTCGTTTGTAGTGATCTTATCGGTAGGGCTTTGATTCTGATTCTTCACCAAAAACTTTGTCACATTTTTACATAGATGGTTTTTGTAAAAATTATGTGGTTCTTCGAGCCGGACCTTACTGAAAGTGTAACTGTTTGCCGCGCAATAATAAATTATAAAGCATCTAATCGATGATTGTTTGTATTAGGCGCGTAGAACGCGAGCGTGCAGCGAGGATAGCTGCGTGCGCGCGCGCAGAACGCGTCGCCGTGCGTAATCTTCGGCCGCTGGAACACCCTGCTGCGCCAGCGGCGATCGCTCGTCGGCAGGCCGCTTCTCAGCTTGAAGCTCAGCTAGCTGCCTTGCACACGGTGAGTATTTAACTTTTATTTAGCGACATTTAAAACTATTGTTGAAACATTATATTGTTCCCTTATTAGATTTAATTGCTTCGATTTTAGATTCAAACTATCTTTCACGGTTGGTCGTTCGAGTCCCAATCTTTTAATCGAACATTTTCAACGTAAATTTGGTTTCTGACAATAGGGAAAACTAAATTACAGAAATGTAGTTGATCGGGCTTCTGTGCCCTGCCCGACCGAAACGATTTATTGTATCCCCAGGATTCTAACCCCGACCCCTCGCCTTCATCCTTCAACGATTTGGCTACAGAGTCCGTCATACTGGTAATACAAACGTAAGAAGTTTAAAAACGATTTTAAAAGTTTAAGAACGACGAAAGTAAATCTAGATATTGTTTGAACAGTCGATTTTTCGGTCGTTTCAGGAATGGACGCTGTTCGTGGCTCGTTCGGGCCTGGTGAAGTTCCCCGAAGAGCCGAGCAAGTACGCACGCGCATTGCACCAGCACAAGGAGAGGCAGCGAGAGATTAGGAGGCAGCTGGAGGTAAGGTTTTTTATGGATAACTTGAAATAATAAATGTTCAATTATATTTTGTTGTTTCGGATCCCCCCTTTCCCTTGACTGACGAAATGTCTAGACCTAGTTAGTAATAAATTTAGCAATCTTTCGTGTTTTAAACCCCTAAAGTAATTTTATTTAAGGGTAGGTAAGTGGTATGATTTATCAAACCGCAAGCATGGGCGGTCGTCCTATTTCGGCTTTGGATTTTCGGTAAACGCTTTTTTGTTGCCAGGAGAGACTGTTCGCTCTGCAGCAAGAAGCACGCCACTTGATATCTGTCCACAGACCCTGGCGTTGTGTCGAAGCGGACCTCACAGACTTCCCGGCGCCGGAGTTGACAGCTGTGAGTATCTCCACCAACTACCCACCATTAATTTATTGAACTACCGCTTATCTGTGTGAAATTTTAATTCAAATCAGTCCTAGAACAAAATGAGAAAAGACTAGTATTAAGAAAGGGGAAGATAATATGGGGCAGCAAAATAACGTCTAAACGAGATGCGCTGTGTCCTATTTAAAAGAGAGATTTAAACGCGATCACACTTTGCAGTGGCTAAGGACACGTTATTTCTATATTTCTACAACACATTTAATATCCAGATTTTCCATGTAAAGTTTTCTTGCAAATGTTTTTTACAAATACTATAAATTGGTAGACCGTCGACTGTAGTGTAAACTGTAGAATCAGACCCATTAGGGACCGTTCAAGTATTACGTAAGCACTATAAGGGGGTGGGGGGGTCTTTGTTTTGCTTATTTTTGATTACATGGGGGCTAGGGGAGTCCAGATGATGCTTACGTCATCGATATTTATTTACTTTCTGAAACAACTTTCTTATTTTTAAAATTATCATATAAAAAATACATTTTTAATTGAAAAAAGTTTACGTAAGCACGGGGGAGAGGGTCAAAGCTTTGCTTACTTTTGCTGACAAGGGGGATGGGGGGGTCAATAATTGTAATAAATCTGCTTACGTAATACTTGAACGGCCCCTTACTGATGATTAATAACTAGACGTTGATACCATTGGATCATTGGATTGGATGAGACCGTCTAGAAATGTACGTTTATGAATGATTTTTTCCCCATATTGATATTGTATTGCAAAAGACAAGTAAGTTAACGTGAGACAGACTATTGTATCTCTTTGTCCGACAGATGGCGCTGTTCTTAATTTTTCCATCACTAAAACGAAACGTGTCCTATTTAGGATGTGGGGATAAATCTATTGATTGTTGTAGGCGTTAACTGCGCAAGCGATAGACATCGGAACGATAAAGTACCCGGCGCCTGCGTCAGGGCTTTCAGACGACACGATATACGTCACCCCCGCCCAACTCGCCAAGTGAGTTGTTTTTATTTGAAATTTGAGCATTATTTTGACAACCTCTACGAGATAAATCGAACTTGCTTAATATGAACATAATATTATGTGTAAGACGAAGACGGATGATAAATTTGTGATGTGGTTCCAGGATCAGGGAGTTGGTTGAAGAATTGAAGTCTGATGATGTTAAGCTGGATTTGAAGCCGCTAGAGCAAACCGTCAGCGCAGCTTGAACAATCTGGTTGCGTTTGCGCTCGAATTTAATTGGGACTGGAGTCAGAAATTTATAGACATTTAATTTAATTTTAACTACCACTGAAAACATGTATATCTTCTTTCTTCAACAATTACTAAAATTTAAATAACACCATTTTAACGGTTTTGAACGCGAATTTTATTCGTTAAGCTATTTTCAGAGATGTGACCGATGTACTGCAGAGCATCCGAAACGTCGGGCTGTATGTTAGAAATAAATTAACCTGTTGTTTCGCGTTTAAAACCGTTAAGTGTTTTATTTAAATGCGTACAAGTCATATAAACTACGGACTATACCTATAAAGATATTTTTTTTTATATATTCCTTATCTTTATTTAGATTTTTTATATTGTTTTTAAAAATATTGATGAAGGTTTCTTGTAAATAAGTTTCTTCGTCGTTTTCTGTAGCTTACGCGAGTAACATTTTAACATTTTAATTATTAAAACACTTTTAACGGTTTAAAACGCGAAATATACTAGTGATTTTTTAAGTTTATTTCAACTACGGGCCGACATTACGAATGCTTTGCAGCAGCGGTGGACACGAGGAGACATCTTATGCATTTCGCGTTTTAAACTGTTTAATTTAAATACAACTACGTTTATACGCAATAAAATAGCCATATATATTATGTTAGCGGTTTATTAGTGAACTTCTCGTCTTTGCAGCTTTTAATACAAATTTTAATTGGAATAAAATTTAATTAGCTTATTTATTTTTGGTAGATTTTATTAGAAATTAAATTGTTATTTAGTTAAAATAACAGTATTTACGAAAATAACGTTATCTGTGTATATTATGAATTATCATCGAGGCCGCTAGAGACAGAGTAGCCTAACTTCAATTTTATTTATATTTTCATAGTTCAAAAATGTTAATCTGCAAAAGAGCACAGTGAACGATAATTGTTAATACAATTCTTACACAAACAATAGTATAACATTTTCACCTAAGTTAATTGCGCATTTTTATTTCCCTCCTTATTGAAAATCATATTTTTTAGGCCACTCTGCCTCTACCGGCCTCAATTATTCTTGTAGCTTGAAACTTCCATCTATAGTCCAGTCATTTGTATTGTATTTGCTACTCTGTGATTAACTATAGTACTATAACGATGAACCATAGAGATTTTTTGCAGTCTGTGGTAAGGGCTCGCACACTCTTTAGTTTATAGCTAAAGGAGGTCGTTGCGTTCAACTTGCTTCTAATATTGTACTTATAAAATAAACCCTTATTTATTACTGAGATGTTTTTTTATTTGTTTTTTGGTAGAGTAGGGTAGGTTATTGAATTCTTCTCCTTTCATAATCTTTGCTTGATACGACACGTATTCCGAAATAAAAGAAATGATGATTGGAAATGTCTTTTTATTGTACTCTTAAGAGGATGCATGAGTTTTATAAAAAACTAAATCGAAAAAGTTTAACTTACAGGATGTTAAATACTGTCTATAGTTTACGCGAGTAGTACACATTTAAATAAAACACTTTAACGGTTTACAACGCGATTAGTTAAACTTATTTGAAAATTATTTTTAACTTCGGCCCGACGATTCCCCGTGACCGCGGCTGCTGCAAAGCATCCGAAACGTTTTTTTAATTTTTAAATAAGTTCAACTAATGTATCGCGTTTTAAACCGTTAAAGTGTTTTATTTCAATACAGGATGTTGTAAAAAGATTCAGAAATACATCAATCTTTGCGGTTTCTACATCTGTGGACGGTGATTTGATTTAATATATAAGTTTCCAGGCAATGTCCAACATAGAAAAAGTAAACTAATTAGACACAATCTAACCCACGACCCTTTTTTTGGCCATTGCTACCATTACACGAACAAGCTTGTAAAAAATATATAATTCTTTATAGTAGAAAGTTATAACCTGTATAAGGGTTGAACAGCTTTCACGACACCGGCGGGTCATGAACCGGCACCCACGGCGTTCCGTTCTGCTAGTTGGTTCTTTTCTCAATATAAATATATTTAAATAAGACACTTTAACGGTTTTAATCGCGATATTATTATTTTTATTATTTTGGAATTTTGAAAATTAATTTTGATAATTATTTTACCTATGGTCCGACGTTTAAACGGTTACAATGCTTTCTTTGACTACTCCGTAAAATCTAAAGAGATCTTTATGTATTTAAATAAAACACTAACAGTTTAAAACGCGATATGTGAGTTAAACATAGATGGCGCTAGCAATTTTTACTTTGACATCAGAGATATCATCCATCTTTAGTCTCCCCGTGACCACGGCTGCTGCGAAGCATCCGAAACACCGGGCTGAAGTTAAAAATAATTTTCAAATAAATTTAAGTAATATATCGCGTTTTAAACCGTTATAGTGTTTTATTTAAATGTGTACTACTCGCGTAAACTATAGACAGTATATCTTTATGTAATGCCATCATGTGAGGAAAAATATTAATGTTTAAAATTTTCGATAGTGACCAATTTTACAATATTAGTGCGGAATGCGAAATTATTTCAACACTTTAATAAGCAAAACGGATTCCACGAATATGCACTTAATATCAAAATCGCGCAATGATTAAAAACATCCCGCTTCGCTCATTCAATTTGGGCATAGTTCATCGAAGTTTGACATCAAACGAGTGAAATTATTTCATAAGCCGGCCTTTGATCTTTTTATTAAAAATGCTCGATAGATTTGGCGGGAACAAAGCATACCACAGTTAATATTATAATGTTTTATACGCCACAGACAGATTATATATACCTATGACGTTTATTGTTCTGTGGCGTACACAGACACAGATTATAATATATTACGCATATAATACTCTGTGGCGCAGTGGTTAAACGTGAAAAGTCCTTGATTCCAATGTTTGAAAAACATAAGATCGTGTTAAAATCGTGTATGCTTCATGCTCCGTGGCCCACGCTGGGGATACGGGATTATTATCTATGTGTATAAAGGCCTAAATGCGCTTTATTTGCGAGAAACGTCTTAAAGCTAGAAACTGTAGGTTGACGAGCCCCCATCAATCATTTTTTCTTTCATACAAATAGCTACCTCTGGAAAATCTAGATATTTAATATGTCTAATGTAAATATAGTTACGAATATCGTAATTTTGTCCGGGTGACAAACCACCGACGATCAATGAAAAGATCATTTTTATCGCAAGGATTTTTTAAAAAATCAGACTTGCAATGTAAATATATATGTATTTTAAAAGGTTTTTTTTTGTATAGGACAGACAAGACTTTAAAATCACATGAATATAAAACTCGTGAGGCATGAAGGAAACTTCAATTGAACGAAACTTTCTTTCAGTTCACAGACCGTTTTCTTTTTACAGGCAAGTTGCAGCCTTCCGTGCCCTCCCAGAAAAATCTATTGTTTCCCCAGGATTCGAACCCAGGGCCTCTCGTGCCTAACACAATACTTATCTAAGAAGGCGGACGGGGTGTTGGAACATGAAAGTGAATATCGCCCTGTGCGACCTATTTTGCTTTAAAAATTCTACGACTGAAACCGTAACGCAATTAAACATACTTTAAATTACAACTAAATATTTGTAATTTGTAAAAATACTAAATAGTACTACCACCACCACAAGTGCTTATAAAAAATTCAATAAAAACTCGTTCACACTGTAACTGCAATAAATAAAGACTATCAATCATAAATTGCCCTATAGGGGAGGGTTTTTTGCTTGCAACACTGTCGCTGCGGGGTAATTATTACATTCCGCGAATTTATTTCGCGATAGAAATCCTGGCTATATTGCGAATATAACCGGTCATGAGCGTGTCGGGCAACCACGAATAACTTTTCAGTAAATACATAGATATCAAAGTAGTAACTTTACACACAGGTAGTTGTTAAAATAAAAAAAAGAATTTATTTAAATAGAACACTTTAACGATAATATCGTGTTTTAAACCGTTAAAGTTTTTTTTAATTTGTACTACTCGTGTATATATAAAAAAAATATTTTTTATTTATTTCAAGTTTTTACTGTTACCATTTTTTATGTCGTATAGACGCAGCCATAAATTATATTTTGATTAATTCTCTATTAGGTAATCATTTTTATAACTTGTATATTAAGCTGAAGAGTTTGTTTGATCTAACGCGCTCATCTCAGAAGCACGGTACGCTGACGATGCCGGTTCAAGTCCTGCCCGAGTCGAAATTTTTTTCAATTTATTTTGGATTTTTAAATAGTATTGTAGTTTTAATATCTTGTATACTTTATTGTATTTGTATGTAAAATTATTTTTCTGTAACATTCGTAAGTATATAAAAACCAAAGTTACATGGAAAATAAATAATAAAATCAACCGTCTAATTATTGTATTTGAGACACACTGGTAGATGGACCGACCCACAGCGATCTTAGTAATTCCGATTTCACTCTTATGATTACGGAACCCTAAAACGGTGGTGACCCATAAAATACGCGTTCTGTCATAAATATTTTATTTTTTAATCTGCTATATACTATTGAGAAGTACAAATAGTTTGAGTGATAGAAATTGTCAATCAATATATTGTGTCCCTTCGTCGCAGCTTATATGAGTTTTGTTTATTGATATATTTGTTGTATGTACGTAGAAGTTTTAAAACGTAACGTAACGTATATCATAATATAACAAGGGGTATACGTGTGAGAATGTTATTAAAAATATAAATACAATATATTTAATTAGATACAAGAAAACAACAGATACAAAATGATACCTATAGGTAAAAAACCATAATAACGAGTAAAGTCTTAAACGTTTGATAATCTGTGGTCTGACATCGAACTAACACAGACAATACAAACTCCCAGTTTTTCTATTACAATTCTGTATTATACATGCATAAAAATAAAACGCCAATTATTACAACAATAATATTAATTATATATAAACTATATTAAATAAATAATTATTTAATTGCGTATCCAAACTCGCGACATCCTGGTTTTCATTTACTGCCACCGAAGTTCGGT